GGTGTACAGCTCCAATTTTTGGTGCACCCTCAGTACTTTGAGCCCTGATTTGTAGTTTGCATCAAATCGGGCAAAACAATGGACAGGAGTGAGTGATACCCAGTTCATTTGATTCGTTGTTGGTACAGTAATACACTCAGATTCACACTTGCACTTGAATATTATCTAAATGACTGAAAAGAAAATCAAAGACAATTTTTATTCTTTTATAAGTTACAAGAACATTTGCAAAACAAAAAACCTATGCAGTTGACTCCATATTCAGTTGAACCAAGGAGCTTATACTATAGTTATAGCGAAACTAGATAAAAAGGAACAAAAATAATAAATGTTACGGACAAGTTGCAATCTCCACAGTCACCCTACCATGCATGACATTTTTTTTTAGATCAACAAAGAAGTTAGAAAGTTATAAAAGTGATTCATAGATGGAAAGAAATTAACCTTGATGTGTGGTATATAACATTCTGAGACAAACTGTTTGGCTAAAATTCGACTGATCCTTTTGTTATGCAAACCATTGAAAGAGAATGCTGGATTAACTTGTTTACTTTACAACACTTGATTGTTAACTTTACAGTAACCAACTAATTACTTGGGGTAAAATGTTGTTTCAGATAAATTTTGAAAAGGAAAAGGACTTTTACTTTCTAAATTAAGATTTTCTACATCAATTTGATGTTCTTTGTCTATTTTGTGTAAGTGTAAGCAGCATCTGATTCATTACGGAAAGCAATATATCAGTTGCAGGAGCCTTTGAAAAAAAAATGAAAATCTGTAAAAAGTACTTAAAATGATCAACTGTACCTCTGTATTAGGTAGGGCTTGTTACCTCCGGGGAAGGAGATATCCTTCCGCGAGGAGGTTTTACTATGGTTCGAAACATTTCTGTCAGCAGCTGTTTCTCGCGATCGGCTGGACGGATTTGTCTGTGGTTCGGTATACGTATTGCTATTGGGCTGCAGATGATGCAGAACGTTTTTGTTTAATTGCATATGTGTTTATGGGCGTCGAAATAAAAGGTTTTTAAGTGCTCCGGACACCCCCGCCATGCTGAAAATGGTAATTACCATGTTGTTAAGGAATGGGGCGGTTGCAGTTTTGGGTCTTAGCATTCAAAAGGGGTCAAACAGAGGGGTGTCTGGTTCCGATAAAAATTTTGGGTGACGGCGCAGCAATGACGGCGCGGGATGACGGCGGGGGTAATGGCGCGGGTGACGGTGCAGGCTGTCAGACTGTGAGACACGTTAATCAACAGTCCATACCGAACCAACCGTCAGTAGCCATCAAACACATACAAACATATTACGCACATAACTTTCATACTACACACAAACAAATAACCTAAACCAATAGAACACAAAAAAAACCGGAGGTTTGAAATCTACGATTTCCCTTGTTGCATTTGTACTATGTCTATAGAAAGTAGCCATATACATGTATATTATTAACGTCTACTAGGATATAAGGAAAATTTAGTTGTTTAGGTCCAAGTGATGTATATGATGTATACCATATGTGTTATGTGATTTGGTCCTTTTTACATGTATTTTATTTATCAGAGAAACTTCAGTATATTAAAATTAAGTACATTAAGTAAGTTTTATTAAATTTAAGTACATGGTCTTCTAGACTGAAGTGAAACAAGACTTAGTGCAAATTGAAAGAAAACATTGTAAGCTCTTCAAAGTAATTTTAGAATATTTCTCGTATATTTTTATATACATGTATACTGCGAGCACCCACGCTATTTTTGTAAGGTAACGTTACATACACCTAGAAGGTGTCTAGTTGAAGGATATACATTTAAAATAAAGACTAAGCCATGGTTATGCAATGCATTGTTAGTAGTACTTAATGCACAAAGCTCAAAGTCATGTCCAGTTCTGTGGAATCCTTTCTTTTTTCTTTGTTTCCTTTGCTACCGTAATTTTATCGTACGCATGCCTCATACTTTTACATCAGGGCTGCACAAAAACGATTTCAAATGACTCACTTATGCTCGTCGTCGGAAACTGTAATCTCCAAGCAGATTCGGTGGGGCAAGGAGACTTTTATATTTTTAACGACGTCTGTATCTATTGGCCGCCTGTATCCAACGATCGTGGGGCGATGGATGCAGGCGGCCAACATAAAGGATAAAGTCTCCTTGCCCGGCCCCACCGAATCTGCTCGGAGATTAGGAAGCACATGTAAATATGAAATAACGATATAAACATCTATATATAGGTTAAATACTTATTTTTATTGTCTAGACTAAATCCCATAAACTTATATAATTAAAGGAGCGAAACTCAAAACGACAAATTTCACTTAGTCCATGATCAATATTAGGCATAGTAAGGTTTGTGTTATCATAAATACGCAATTGAAGCCTACGGTATATCCAAATGAGGGTCAGGGGAATTTGAACTGCCCTCATATTTAGGCATCGAACGAGCGAACGGTTCAATGAAATAGCGCACAAGATGACGCCACACATCTGCGTGAAGATCCATGATATCTTAAGAACTCCTGTTTTTCGAACGGTGCCAGGCACAGGGTCCTCCTGGTACCGCCAGGAGATAATCACATCATCCCGACAGCCTATCGGAATCACAGACACGATGACTCACTCCGTGGTCTGACTGAAACCCACCGTTCTCTCCAAAACACGCGGGTGTCCCAGTTTGTGGCTTGTTGTGCCTGGTAGTGCCGGGTGACCTTCACCGCGTGTCGGCAAACCGCCAACTCCGTCCCCGCTGCAACTTACCTCAAACAGACAAGTCAGCAAATTTCTCACTAGGCTGATGTTTTCTCAGGGCGAGAAGCCGAGAATCGCGCGGTAAATATCGCGACATTTCAGGGGTGTGAGTCATGAAGAGATGTTTCAAGCTGTATGTAATGCTGTAATAAATGATGGAAAAGGAACTCGGTGTTTTGTGGCAGGAAAAAATGAGTTTGCTAAAACGATCGCAGTATAGGGACAAGAATGTTAAAGTACAAGAATAATTGTAATTCATATGGGTACACGACTGGGTTAAACTTCATGCGAGAGATTCTATAATGATAGTCTTGGGTACAGGCTTTGGGTATATTCCACGAGCGCCTGAAAAGCCATTTATTTCGCGCATATATTTGACAGTTGTTAACGTTTTTATCTTAAATCAGTATTTGGAACAGAAATAGCGAATACTGGTCGAAATGACGACATTCCGCAAACTCGCTAATAAAAGTTGCTATCCCACTAGCATGCACCTGAAAACCCAGGCTAAGACACTTGCTTGTATGGTAATAAATTATTATTATGGTTATTGATGTACATGTAAGTTATTGATTGCATAAAACCTGGTTGGATTCATCTGTACTCTTACAGCGGTTTGATCTTCGGACTGTCAAATAAATCGGACTGTCAAAATCTGATAAAAGCTCAAATATAATTTGAATTAACTCCGAAGTCGCAGATTTCTTGACAGATTTGTAGCTTTGCTTTCTCAGAAGCTTTGGTGATCTGTTAAAAAAACAGCTCGTTCTGACTTCCTGTTTTTCTGCTTCTGTCAGCGAGATTTCCGTGCCAGGGTTTCTCCAGAAGGTCGGGGCACACGACCCCCGTATCCATGGTGATACCGACTGGTCTATAAATACCGGCTGTGATCGAAGTGACGGTGCCAGAAACCCGGGCAGGTCAGCTCAACACACAGCACCGCGTCCAGCCGAACTTCTAGCCGTAGCCGCTCGCCCCAAACTCTTAAAGTTTGCTTTCTTGTGTCTACTTGGAGAAGTAACGGTGCAGGATGAAGACCGTGCTCTTGTTGTGCTGTTTTCTTGTGGTCGCACAAGCCTGGCCGGGCAGTTTTTGGCGTGAGTACAGATTTTGCATGATGCACTTTGCTCTTTGATGTCTCTTACTTGTTTGATAGGTTATCGTGTACGACTATTTGTTTGTTTCATACCGATTTATTCCGCATTATTATTCTTTATGTAGATGGAGCTTTTCAATGTATAATTTTCTATCAGTGTTGCAATGATTCAAAAGCGCTGCACTGAAAATGATAAAACTACGTATGTACAAACTTGAAGTTGAGAGGAAAAATAGATCGCGTCAGAAGATCTAAAAGAAATGTCTGAATCCAAATGTTGACCTCTCACGACCAGTGTTGGTCCAGTAGATATTATAATTCTGCGTCGTTTTCCTGTAAACATTACATTATCAAATAGTAAATCTCTTCAAAAGTATACGGCTTTACATGGAGCCATTTCAAGGCAGGACACAATGAATTGAATAAATGATTGAATGAACTAACGTCTTTCGAACAGGTCGTTTCCAAGATGACGACCTAACTTCGGACCAGGACCAGGGACGTCCCAGCATCTTTTCTCCTGGCTCGGGCTTCAGCCCTTTCGGTCAAGGCTTCTGGGACAGGATGTCAGGTGAGTGGTTAGAAATTTTTACTACTTTCAGGGCACATTACTTTCACTTACTAGGATGAATAGTACTGAGCGGCTTGGTGGACGTCTGTTTTTTAAATGTTCGACAAGACGATTACGTCTTTGGATTTCTGTGTGTGTGTTTGTGAAACCCAAACAGTTATCAATGTATGGTCATGACATTTAGTATGTAGGTAGATACAAGGACAGATTCGGCTAGAGGCTTTCTATGGTACTGCAGAAGGTCGTTTACAATGTGCACGATTTGTAAAATAGATGATTGTCCGAAAGGTCAACTTTTATCCCCTTGTTCGCTCCACATACATTGTATGTGTTCACTCGCGGCAATGTGTTCAATACGCTAGTCCATGTCCTCTTCATAATCCCTACTCGCCCTCTGGTTGTTCGGGTTCTGTATCGTCCATTTCCCAGTATTTTTCGGTCCTGTTGATTTTCCCGTTGGTTGAGAAGTCGCTGTAGTCGAGGAAGATGGTCCGTTCATGCAGGAAGCCGTCAGTCCGCTCCCAGTGGCGCAGTAGGCCGCAGTGGATCCGCACTTCTCTGTAATACCGGGGAGACAGATCCCTGGAGAGGGTGTGAAAGAGAATAATTGGTTTTTAAGAAAAAAATGTGCCCCTTGGAACTAAAGGATTTGCGACAATGCAATTATTCAAATAACTATCACTGCAACAGTTACAGGCAGCGTTGGGTATATTTTAAACAAACAAACAAACAAACAAACAAACAAACAAACAAACAAACAAACATTTAAGGACTGGATCAGAAGTTTCAAATCCCCCAAATAATAACATATCATATGATCCACAAATCTATATTTGAATGAGCATTGTAACTGTTCTTATTGTATATTGTCCAGATATCAGAGTTAGTCCTTTAAAATAACATTCGGCTAGTTGAGAAGTCCTGGCTGTATATAATTTTTATACATAAAGCCTAATAAATCAAATCAAATCAAATCCGCCGACCTGACCGTGCCGCTGTGCATTTCCAACTGTCGCCAGTGCAGCAGCGCCTCCTGGCGGGCCATGAGGATAAGGTTCCCCCAGTCCCCGCCAGCCTCTCTCTCCGCCGAGCAGTAGGCCAGGATGTCCCGGTGTGTCTGTAGTTGTGTGATCAGTCCGGTGTTTTTCTCCCACACCGACCTTTCTACTTCAGTGGGGATGTCTTCACTCGGTAGTTTTCTTCCCAGGAACCCCACAAATAACCATTCTAGATAGAAAGATTTTGAGAAAAAATACTTGTGAAAATAAAAAAAAAATGTTGTTGGGTCAGAAACGAACTCTGCAGGTAAGGTAGCAAAGAATGGAAAAAGTAAAATAAAGGCAACCAAAACAAATGAAAACATTTCTGGACTTAGATTTTAGGAATCTCTTCATCATGTATTCATATCGAGAGATTAATTGCCAAACGCAAGGCGTAGTGCATTACATGTACGGTATCTTTCAAAGTTCCAGACATTTTAGTGAGCTTAATCGTAGTACATATAGCGTTAGGTAATTCATTGTAGACGTGCAGATGTTACGCATGAAACGTGAGTCGTTGTTTGAATGGGGGTGATCGATCGGACAAAGTTCACTAGAAGGTCATGGTCACTGGAAGCTTCTTGTAATTAGGATAAGTTTGCTTTGCCTGTATAAACTTATAACACCCCTGACGTAACAAAAACTTTCTTCAATCGCCCCTCTACCTCCCGTTTAGAGTTCGCAGATCAAAACAAACCTACCTTTCGACGAACATTCCTGAAGTCTGTGTTTCCCATTTGGAAAGAAACACTGTATTTTCCTCCCGTCACTCAGCTCGTAAAACGTTCCCTTCATGGCATCGGTTATTTCCGCTAACTCAGCGCCGTTTTCTTCAGGGTTTACTTGCGAGAGAATAAAATTCTTCATCTCAGCTAGAAATACAAAGTCTTCGGCGAATCGCGTCGATTCTCGTGATGTAGTAGCTTGTAAGTCCGACATGTTGGTGTAGGGTACAAGTACTGTTATCTTATCATATGACAGGTACATGTAGGTCATTCGGTAGCCCGCAGCCGTTGGATACTGCCTTGCCTATTGGCTGCTGTCTTGGCTACCGAAAGACCTGCTGGGAGATTACAGTTAGACTTTGGACCTTGACACGGCATATGGTTAATTGGCGTTTATTGTACTTCTGTACATGTGCATGTTGGTGAACTAAAAGGGATGTTCACACTACCAGGGATATGCATGTAAATGTGACTTTATGTCATTTTGGCAGAGCAACTTCAAAAAATGTGAAACTTGATTATCATGTCCAGTATAATATGTATGTTCATGTTTGTAGCATACATATACCCTGATAGTTGAGTGAATCTTGCCTGGCTGTATCTGACCATGTCTAACTATGTCCACATGTCGTCTGACAGCTCTCTTCAGCCAGACGTGGAGTGAGGTGTTCTCAGGACTGGGCGGGTTGCCAGGGCTGGACCGCAACTCTACCGACGGTAGGTCATACTATTTCAACAACGCTACCAGAGAATTTGTTAGAAAATCTATAGCATAAAAAGAATTGACATAGAAAACAAAACAGACAGACTGATATATATGTAGTAAAACAGTACTATTACTGAACTCTAAGATAGCCTTGGCTAGCCTGGTTACTATTTTAGCATCCTTTGCGGAGGGGATGTAGGACTCGGGAGCTAAAATAGGTTTGGCAATCAGGCTAAGCCGTTGCGACTGTTGCAGCAATGCAGGGCTATATATAAGACATTGTAAGATTATGAGGAACAAAATCAGATCGAGTATAGGGAGCACCAGAATTATTTAAATATCTTGATGGTACTTTTCCACATTATCCGCAGACTTTTTGGACGGTGCCAGCGTTTTCGTCCACACGAGCGCCGGATCGTTTGGATGTAGTTTAGACTGGAACAACCTGACACCCAACTGTACCGGCAATACTACCTCCACCGTCAGGGTAAGTGTGGGAAAACGTGACTTACTAGACTAAAAATGTCCTAACAGTTATTTTTCATGGTCTGTTTATGTTAGATTTACTGTCAAAAGGACTGTGTTAATGACCATCCTTTATGACCAGAGTCGAGACCCAAAGCAAATGTTGGCCGCCCCGGCGGGTCAGAAAACGTAAAGATTTTCCACCCCAAGATCTGCTTAGAGATTACTGTAAGCCTACCACACTTTTATAGCACCCAACGCTTTCCTATGTGAATCTTTTTTTATACATTACATATTTGGGACTCACATGCAACCGTTATGACCTAATGAGGTGACTTCTGATGGCAGGTTCAGTCCACCAAGTGTGTGTGGGACTGGGAGGCGGGAACCTACAACTGCACAACCTTCCGTAAACAAGACGACCAGGAGGAGACCACACAGGTGTCCGGGAACTGTACGGTGGAGGAGGGGGTGCGCACCTGTCCCGGGGCACCGGTACAACCCACCGGCTTCGGCGGGCTGGTCAAGGTGTTCGACCGCCGCGTGGACTGCCTGTTCCGGCCGCTACAGGTCAGTCACGGGTGTCCACACGCGAGTTTCTCTCCGTTTAGACGCAGTAAAATATGATCACAATTTTCTCTGTCTTTCTTTGTGTGCTTTCTTCTTCTGTTAGATTGTTCTAGATGTACAATGTACGTATGTTTACTAGTAGTTGCATTTCTTTTATTGCAAAAAAAATTGATATTTCAAAATTATAATTGTTCATGTTGTAAGCCTTATCTGTATTTAATTGGTTGTTCATCAATTAGGGCTAGTTCTTTGGCTAGTAGAGTAGTAACAAATTGGTCTCTAGCCAAAGTGCAGTGCCTGTAATGCGTGGTGTGCGTGCCCTGATAACACAAAGCACGCACATAAATATTGTACTTTGTTTTTCTCTTGAACCATGTCCAGATCGCCGTTTTCTGTCCGGACTCCAACGATCCGGTGACCGAAGATTCTCTGAACTGTGACGACAGCGGCCTGATGTTGGACTACCACTGCCGAGGGCACCCGCAGCAGCCCGAGGTCACAGGCGAGCCCGAGGTTCATCCGGAGGCCGGGGAGCCCGAGGGACCCGAGGCCGAGATCACATGGGTGGAGGGTGCAGAGGAGAGACCAGAACTAGAGGGGGAGACAGACGTGGAGGAGCCATTCCCCATCAAAAAAACTTATGAAGAGAAGGTGATAGATTTTCTTGTGACTCTCATGTGATGTGTCTTGGCTTAATACTTTTATCAGGCTAACTAGGAAGGATGTATGGGGTAGGTTGTTTGGAAAAGTGGTTGTAAAATGATTGAAGGGCCGCAGTTGAAGATCTGTGTTATATTTTGGGATAGAATTTCATTCATGACCCAAACCCTCCAACTGACGCTGCAGTGTTTTCATTTTCCGGTAGGTGCGCTGCAAAGTTGCCGACGACGGAGAAGTTGTCATCTGCTCTCGCTCCCAGAAGAAGTTTGACGGCGAGGACGTTCTGCAGCGGGACCGCCCGGAAAAACCCTGCAAGTGGGACGGCTCCAACACCGTGCTCTCCTGCTAGATCTCCTCTGAGCTCTTGCTCTGAGTTTTCACGGAGTCAAATACTTGTGTTGTCCGTGAAATTATAGGAAAATCATTTTATGAGACAATGAGGATAGCATTGATGGCATTAATGGTAGACTCAGATAGATAGAAAGATGGATACTGTAGAGACTAAATTGAACTAACGTCGCTGTCGCACATTTCCTTTCGGTTGTAATAAATCATTAACTTGTCATAGTATGACACTTGCTTCTTGATTGCTACTTTTGAGAGCAGCAAACCACATCATAAGTTTGATGATGTAGCCATAAATACTTCATTTCAGCCCATTTGATTTTTTATGTAATCATCAGTGCTCATGCTTTTAGGTGATGAAGTAAAACATTGCTTGTGATGGAGTCTTTTATAAACGTCTTTTGAGATGAATTATGTATGTCAAATATGGTATGGAAACGGTGTTTATAATAAAAAAGCCCCACTGGAATGGATGGCTTGATGAGTTCTGTGGATTTACTTTCAGAGTTTGTGTTTGAATAAAGATTGCCAATGGTTTGTGCAAACAGCTTCCATATGTATTGTATTCTTCCAGATTGGAAAGGTAATTAATGTTGCATATAAATTTAATTAAATTCAATGTCCAGTAACTCCAGTTCAAATATCTAGCATCAGAACACCATGTGGGTATAGATTATACCACTGTCTGAATAATGTGTACACCAACACAGTACATCGTTCGCAAGTTTTCTCTTCTGTACGTTTAACATGTACAGCCGTTATGTAACGTTACAATATATTAGTATAAACTCGTGTTTAATAGACATACTTTCTGATCAAATTCACTTTAATACTACTTCGAAACTGACAAAAACACCCCTGTGAAGCGAGAAGTATTGTCCCAGTACTTCCTGGTTGCTTCCAGGTTCCCTGATACTTCAGTACACACCCCTGTGAAGTGAGTAGTATCGTCCAGTACTTCCGGGTTACTTCCAGGTTTCGTGATGCTTCAGTCAGTCAGCTCAGCTCGGTACTGTCAGTTCTACACTTGGTGACACCATGATCGTCGAGTTTCTATCCCTCCACGCTAGCCTCTGTGTTGTAGGAATCATTTTGTCTATCTACGCTTTACACGTGGAGTTGGAGAAGGAGAAAAACAAGAGCTACGTGGCGCTGTGTGACTTCAGCGACCGTGTGAGCTGTACCAAGGCCTTCAGTTCATAGTAAGTTTGCATACAGTTGGGATAAGGGGGAGGGGCGGAGAAACAGACGTACGTATTCAGAACACCACACCACAGTTGGGCAGTGATGTAGAAGGCTTTATTTGAAAGAATGATCTTTATTGGTCGACAGTTGTACTGGGTACAATGTATGGCAACAATGACAATGTGATCATTACAAGAATAATAGTCTTATCAAGGACATTATTCTGTATATTAAATGTCCTTGGTCTCATAAACTACATAACTATGAACGTAATTGATATGATGTACGTTAGATATTTCTGTCACAATTCTTTTATTTCTGAAGAGAAAAACGTAAACTTTGTTAATTATGTTTAATTTTGTACTTATTTTGTTTGTACACTACAGCTATGGCAAAGGGTTTGGACTACTCCAACACATTGTGGGGGAGGACAGCATCCTGATTCAGCCTAACAGTGTACTGGGAATCATCTTCTATGTGCTGCAACTTGTGCTTGGTAGGTTAAAAGTGTGCTAAGATGACCCTATAAAATGTTGATGATCATGCTTAGCCTGGTATCCAGCCAGTAAGGCGAATGATCTGCTTGGAGGTTAAGTGCGGTATTAAATTCACACTATTTCTTATTATTATTACAGTACATACATTTTGTACCTGCAACATGATTTAAACTTCGGTACAATGTCTCTAACTGTGCTTCCCTCCCCAGGATATGTCGGTGGCTCCCTGTGTGTTCATCTGCTATTCTACACGTCAGTACTATCATGTCTAGGATGTGTATGGCTGGCGTACGTTCTGTACTTCATTCTACAGGACACCTGTGTGGTCTGCATCTCCACGTACCTGATCAACTTTGCCATCATGTTTGTCAACTATCAAACATTTGCTGCATTATGAACCTAAAGATTTGTAATGCTTACATGTAGTGCATAGTGCCAAGTACAGTATTGTAGGAGTAAGGTATCAAGGTTAAGTTTATGCTATGTATTATAGGGTTCAGGACCAAGAGAGCCATGTGGAAAATTGAGAAAATCAAACATATATGTAACGTTACCATTCTTTAAAGAAATCATTATTTTATTACATTGTAGGTGCAAACAAAAATACATGTAGAAGTCTCCAGTTGTTAAGATATGTTTACAAATGTTTCAATGGTGGCACAAGAAGTATGAATTTCTATTTGTTCACTGGTTATATGGGATGAGGGTGATTGTAGTCGCAAAACGTTTGACTTTAGATAAACGTTAGATAAGACATTAGATAAGGATACAATGCTTTAGTGTTGATTAAAGTTTTGTTTTCTCCTATCAAAATATACGTACAATGTATAAATATTATACAATAAAATCATTTGCACAGGTTATATGCTTAAATTAATGGTGGATCTACTACATGTCAAGTTCCAAAACTGCTAGTGGCCAGCAGGACGATTTGAGAATTCCATGAAAAAAAAAAAAACAAAACAAACAAAACTGAATGTATAATGATATAACATAACCACAAATGTCATTTCAACAATTACATAGACACCTTTAACATATATGCCACTACAATCCTTTGGACACATTCAAATGTTTTTACCATATTCATTTATAAAAAAGCCATAATTCCAACTAGCCTAATGAGGTACATCAATGATTTCTAAGCCTAGCGCTAATTTGCACTGCCTCCAGAGGTAGATGATGACCTTATCTTGAGATGCATTCTCGAATCTGTTGATAGCAGCTACTTCTAAGGTACATTGTAGATGATTCTCTTACTCTGGAGGTGAATGTGATGCTAGTTGATCTTGACCAGCAATGTTGTCTGTAAGTAAAACAAGATTTGGTCAAAGATTGTTTTTTTACTGACTTAGAAGCTGTAACAGACTTATTACTGCATTACATGTATCATCTATTTTTCTACTACCTTAAATGTTTAAATACATTGTACATGTATGATAACTGAGAAAGAAAAAAAATGTGCATTTGTATGGGCCCTGCTACATGTTTATTTCATTCATAAAACATTCTACATACCTGAGGGCTGCAGTTGTAGATGATCATGGATAGGAGGCGCTGCTGTATCACCCTCCGTCTCTTCTGGTCTCTTCTCTTCGATCACCTCAGCCGTATTCTGATTGTCCTTTCCTTCCCCAGAAATACTGAGCTGTTCCATCTTAAGATCAAGGTCTGTTGATTCTGGTCTGAAAAACAGGCAAAAGTAAAATAGTTCAATTATAATTATGATACTGCTAGGTAACAAAATACAAGAAGATACAACATCAAAAGAGAATATGAAATGAAAACAAGAAGTGCTCATATACATGCATGTAGACAGGTCAGTGAAAATAAGTATACTGTTGTTTGATTATTCTTTCAACAATGGAGGAAGAAAAGTGTGGTAATGATCCAAATAGATTTTGTAGGAAATCAAAATCATACTACTACACAGATGATAAAAGCCTAATAGCTTGTAGTGATATCCTTTGACAGAGGGTATTCTAGTGTTGGGTACAAAGTAAATACTGATGATATATACCTGTTAGGTTCTATCTCTGTGCCAGCAGTACCAGAGTTGTTACTACTATCATCACTGCCACTGTCGTTGGTCCCTACATCAACTGAAAAGATAGAAATTCCATCAATGTTACCAAAAATGTCATAAAATTTCAAAACTCTAACACCATATAAACATTGAATCATAATATGTAGCATTTGCACATTTCGGGACCGAAAATACTAAACATCAAAAAGTATACTGTACGAATAGACAGCAGGCCATCTACATCAGGACCCACCAACCAAGCACCAAGCAGAGCTGATTTTACCTTGGAATGCCAGACTTCTCCAGTACTTCTGGTGAACATGGAGGGTGCTCAAAATTGACTTCACTGCCCTGGAGGACAAGTATTAATAAGAAGAATTTTCATCACTTAAAAACTCCAAATGATATTCACAGAAATTGGGGAGAGAAATCTAGAGGAATGCTCATGTAGAGAAAGATAAATAAACGCCTACATACATTGTAAAGCTGCTGGACAGTAAGAAAAAAAATAATTTGGCATAAGTTGTAAACAGTAGATAGAAAAATTTGGTATATTCTACATGTAAGTAGAATGTGAGACTGTAGAGAACTAGTTATGGATATACTTACTCTTCACATGGAGGGGAGTACTCAAATGGAGGACAAGGGTCCCCCAGGAAGATTTTGGTACATTCCGACATAGACTCGGAGATGGAGGACAGGTTGTACCCCCCCTCCAGCAGTAGTACGACCCGCCCCCCTGCCAGGCTGCTCAGCATGTGGGTCATGTGTGCGTAGCCGGAGGGGGTGACGTCACAGTGTCCCAGGGGGTCCCCCCTCGCCGCGTCAAATCCCGCTGATACGATCACCAGCTCGGGAGAATATTCGTACGCTATTGGCATCACAACCTGGAGTACAGAAAACATACAATTCAATGCACTGTAGGTTAAATACAAAAAGGAATATTTGACTGTTTGGAACAGGAGAAGAAGAGAAACTGAGCAAAAACAATGTTTTCCTTCAGTAAATGTAATAACCCAGTTGTGTTCCTGACCTGTTGAAAAGCAGCCATGTACTCAGGGTCCCCCATGCCCCCCCTGCTCCAGGGCACGTTGACAGTGAACCCCTCCCCCGGGCCGCTCCCCACCACTGTACAGTCTGCATCAGGACTCCCAGGGAAAAATGTTCCATTGTCAAACCTGGAATACAAAAGATTCATTCAGTGACACAACTGAAGACATGTTCCAGAGTAGTATGTTGAAGTACAAGTGCTACATTATTGTGCTACGTATATGATTCTGAAACAAGCATGAACAAATTTACATAGTTTCTCATTTACATCGTACACAAAACAAAAGATGAGGCTTACTATTACTACCTGGTACATGATACACTTTGTTTACTGTATCATGTATATCTTTCCATGGAAAAGGATCTAATTATGTCACCAAAAAGATGGTTGAGAATAGACAGAGCGCCGTTGTTATACTTGCCTGTGTATAGAAATGTAGAGCACTGTTGGGTCCTCCTCAAACATGTGTTGTGTGCCGTTACCATGGTGGATATCCCAGTCCAGTATCAGGACCCTGCCCACCCCCAGCCTCCTCTGTGCGTAGCGTGCTGCCAGCGCCGCGCTGTTGAAGATGCAGAAGCCGCACGGTTTGTCCACCTCGGCGTGATGACCCGGGGGTCGGACCACAGCGACGGCACTGCGTACACTCCCGGTGACCACGGACTCCACGGCGTTCATGGAACACCCTGCCGCTAGACAGGCACACTGGGAGGAAAAGGGAAAGTTGGGTCACACGTTACCTGAGTTATGTCATAAAATCTTGCTCTATTCTTCTTAAGAACCCTCTAAAGTAGGTTCAGAAATGTCAGTTCTATAATGAGCACTGGGAAAACAACAACATCCATGTTGTAAAGATGCCAAGGACATAACTTAACTACATAATTTGTGCTTTAAGAATTAATAAAGGAGTATGAATTAAGTTCAGAGTGCATGTCAGTACTCTGAATTTTAATGTAAGAGTTAACTCACTGTAGCTCTGTAGCTAGCTACACTCTGTTTTTCTGAGTATTGTTCTAAGTGCATAGGTATTGACTTTCCTCACACATGCCTATTCTCACCTTGTATGTCTCGTTACACAGAAAGATGGAGTTGAAGTCTGCCTGTGTTCGGTTCAACTGTCGTGGTGTCATCTCAGCTGTCTCCTGCATCAGCTGCAGGTGTTCAGACGTGTGCAGGTACAACAGCTCTTCTTCTGTAGCCAGTCTGGACTCCAACTTAACACACCTGGTGGAAAAAGTGAGACTTTGAGAACACCTGTCCATGGTACTGGAATGAAACAGATGTCCATGATACTGAAATAGAACACTTGTCCATGGTACTGAAATGGAATATCTTTCCATGGTACTCAAATGGAACACCTGTCCATGGTACTCAAATGGAACACCTGTCCATGATACTGAAATAGAACACCTGTCCATGGTACTGAAATGGAACACGTGTCCATGGTACAGAATTGGAACACCTGTCCATGGTACTAAAATATAGTATCTTTTCAGGGTACTGAAAGTGAACCCCTGTCCATGGTACTGAAATGGAACACATGTCCATGGTACTGAAATTGAATATCTGTCCATAGTACTGAAATGCTTTCACAACATCTACTAGTATTTCATTCCTGAGCCCTGAGCCCAAAAGTACAAGGAAGAGGGGTAGGGATTGGGAAAATGAGGTATATGTAAATGAGGTGAACTTGGTTCCTATTTCCACAATGGAAAAGTTTATCCTGACCTGTCCTGTAGCCTGTGCCTGTCCAGTGCCTGCATGATCCTGCGTATCCTGTATGGCTGTTCAGGGTGGCCAGGGAACCAGATGTTTACATGGTTTGTCATAGCCTCATCATACACCAGACCCACCTCACGTCCTGATGCACAGGTGCCTAAAGCAAACAGACACAAGGTGGCATTCATGTACTGAAGGATCAGGACAGATACATGTATGGTATCATTGTGAAGGGTAACAAATAATCTTTCAAAAGAGAGATAATACTATATGATTGATATTAATGGAGACGTAATTGATCAAAGTTTCCAAAGTTTATATTGGTAGAAGTATTAGAATATCTTGGTGAAAACATACCCCTTTCAACAGATCTCCAGTGGGCCACGTCTTCAGATGTTTGTGGAAGCTGGCCTTCCTCACTGGTCAAAGTATCTTTTGAAACCTATAACAGTGAAATCAGTCAGCAATATCTCAAATTCAACTTGGTCATAAGGATTCAACAATCCTTCCTACAAAGAACACTGCAAAACATAGGTATCAAAAACTTTCTACATCTTATCCTAATGCAAAAGTTATAAGTTTTTCAAGATCAAAGCTTACCTGGTACTGGAAGCATTTCCAACTTTTACGGTGAACCCCGAGGACATTCAGTAATGTCTCCATGGAGCTGGGGTCAGGGTGAAGTGGGGGGAGGGGCGGACAGGGGTCTCCCAACAGAGTTTCCACACACATGGCTACACACTCCGACAACGTCTGTATGTTGTACCCTCCCTCCATGATGGCACAAACTTTGCCCTCAGCAAGACCTGTAATAAACAACAATATAATAAGGATTTGCTTTTGGTGTACACATAATTTAGATATAATGTATTATAAAAATCTATATGTTATTGTCAAAAAGTGGAATGACATTTATGCTTTAGCAACCAGTATATTGGAATACTATAGTTTTCATATAAAATTGAGCAGACATACATTTGTAGAAAACACTGTAATATACAAACTACACGTACCATACAAGTAAGTACTTTGGGTTCAGGTCCAGACCTGTATACTCTAACAATTCTACAGGAGGTACAGTGTATTAGTACACAGCCCTACATCAGAGTGGGCCTAACCATGCTGCAGTACCTTTCAGCATGTGTAGGAGGTGTGCATAAGCAGCCGGGGTGGTGTTCATTTCTCCTTTTGGATCACCGGCAGCTGAGTCAAAACCAGCCGATACCAGAACCAACTGAGGGTCGAACTCATACGTCATGGGCATAAGGACCTAGACACATACACAAGCAACATTTGTGAAGAAGTGAAACTAGTCTGAAAGCCCGAAACAAGCCACAAGAATTCAAAACTAACATTTGACGTCAGACCAAAAATTCTGACTGTCAGACATGTAATCTACATGTCTTTTACTGTTGTTTCTTTACTTATTTCAGAAAATGAAGGTGAGATTTGAACGAAACTAATTATATATGATCAGATTCCAATTGTAGAACATATCTTTCCTCAGAAATGCTATTGTGGTTTTTGTGGCTGTTTCAGTGCTTTCATTGTTATGAGTTGAAGTTAACTCTACCTGTGAGCATGTGCAGTAAATGAGCATAGCAGACAGGAGATGTGACCATGTCTCCCATACGGTCTCCTGCCGCTGAGTCAAACCCAGCGGAAACCAGCACGAGCTGGGGCGCAAATTCATACGCCATGGGCATTAGAACCTACAGGGATAACATACGCAAGTACTGCATCAAAGCATCATAGCTTAAACATAATCATTTTCACATTGAATCAATCATTTTCATCAGATCTATTTTGCTATTGATCAAATTTAGTCTGATTCATGAGTATTTCATGAATTTGATGAGTACCTTTAGCAGGGTTTGAAATACCAACTCTCGCCACCCAAGTCATTATTTCTGTGTGGGAAGCCAGGTTTTTGGTGCAAAAGTTACTGCTAATCTGAAATAAACCACAGTGTCTTGCCTTGGCCAGCATATGTGAACAACTAAATAGTACCTTAAAGTTTACAGGTGGCCTGGCTTATGGCTTGTGGCAACCTGAAATATTGATGATCAACCTTACTTTTGGCTTAGGTTACCCAGTATTTCAAACCCTGTTTAGAGTCAAGAGTTAAGAGTTTAGATTCAAGCAGCTCAAAATATGTACCAAAGTTCAACACATACCTGCTGAAATGCAGCGATGTAGTCTGGATCTCCCAGCCCCGTCTTGTTCCATGGCACGTTCACGTTGTAGCCTTTACCTGCCCCCCTCCCAACAAAGTTGTAGTTGGCCCTCTCCATGTGTGGCCAGTACTCTGTGTGCTCGTATCTGTGTATAGAGAAGAAGAGAACCCGCGGATCGTCGTAGAAAAGGTCCTGGGTTCCGTTCCCGAAGTGGACATCCCAGTCAACAATCAGGACCCTGTCCAAGCCGTACTTGGTCAACGCTTGTTTGGCAGCGATAGCGACGGTGTTGAAGAGGCAGTAGCCGCAGGATGCGTCGCGGTCAGCGTGATGACCGGGCGGACGTACAACGGCCATTCCGTTGCGTACTTTCCCGGTGAGAACTTGGTCCATAAGTTGAAGGGCACAGCCAGAGGACAGAAGGGCAGAGTCAAAAGACTTGGGGTGTATGGCTACATCTTCAAAAGTCTCTGCAAGAGGGCAAATATGACTGTTAAATTTACTCGTCAAAAACCTGGGAAACTTGTTTGGAAGTTTGGCCAATCTCCATTGTTACTTCAATAATCATATCATATTGTATTTCATTGGAAAGCTTATCTTTATAACAGTTGTGATCATTTGTGAGAGGAGCCCAGGGCTATATGAGTGGGTACAAAAAAATAAGTGCCCACCTTTCCTTTGATGATCAAAAACATTACAATGAATTGATGTATCACTGATATTATCAGGAGGCTCCTTCAGGGTTTACAGTGATAGGTAGTAATGGATACCTGAGAGCTGCCTTAGCTGGTCCATTTCCATAGTAACACTGCTCTCCAGCTTCCCCAGGAGATCTTCGGAGTGGATACTCAGGATCTCGTCTCTAGTGGCAGGGCGGGAGGGGATGGCCACACATCTAAAGAACAGTGGAAGAATGTTAAAGTATCTATATGTAAGTTTTCAGAATCACCTCATTTCATGGAGAGTATGTAAATACATGTACCTAAAACAACTAGGAGTCAACATTATTGTTGAATCAAAATCATCAAGAAATGTGCCAATGTGTTGCACTGTTCAATTTTCAAAATTATCCTTGACACAAGTACTGTAGGCAAAGCATTATAAGTTGTTTCTTACCTGTCCACCAAGCCTCTCTGTCGCAGTAATTTCAGCGTCTCAGTGAACCTTGTTGGCCGTTCAGCCTTACAGTCACTCAGGTCCTCCCACAGACAGTGATAATCAGCCATTCTCTCATCGAACACCACCCCCGTCCCTGTTGGTACGACCCTCTCCTCCAGGCTGAGTCCACTCAAGTCTGGGAGGTCAAATTCTGCTTCAGCCTTTCTTGCCTTCCTTCCTTTCTTCATTGCTTCTTGAAGTGACTGATGATTTCCCCCGCCCCTCCCAGCCCCTGTGGGAGTAACGTTCTTCTTTTTTCTGCCCTTTTTTCCAGTTTTCTTCTGCTGCTTTCTGTTGTCGTCATTTTGGAAATCGTCGCCTTCATTCTGATTTGATGTGACATCACCAATACTGGAACCATCGCTTGCAGGAGGAAGGGTGGGATTGTGGGGAACGTTTTCTGGCACAGATGGAGGAATATCACTTGCCTCTGATGTCTTCTCAGAACTTTCTGTGGTCGACTGATTGTCTGATGTGGGGACAGTGATTTGGTCAGCGTTCTCCACACTTACTGTTGGAGTTACTTGGGGGTCTTCTACCTTTGACACGAGTTGCACGTCAGCAGTTTCACTTGTGGAAATTGCTGCATTGTCTTCCCGAGAAGTGCTGTCCAGTTCTGGAGTGTCTGCTGGAGGGTGAGTAAGAATTGCCATGGCTGGGTCAGTTCTGTTGACGGGAAGCACATATGAGGCTGTATCGTCATCTCTTGATGATGTTTCTTTATCTTTGGGTGGCAACTGAGGTTGCACAGTATCTGGCGGTGGTTGCACAGCTTCTTCCATGGGTTGCACACTAACTGGTGGTGGTTGCACAGCCCCTTCCATGATATTTGGTGTTTGCTAGCAAAGTTGTTTTACCACATGCTACCACAAGTTGGATGGAGTGATGGAAATATCTGAAATATTGTAATACACAGTCATTGAAGTGAACTTACAGTTGCAACTCTAATGCAATGTACATGCTCAGGTATGCGTGCACATACAAACACACGCACACGAATAAACAAACAAACAAACAAACAAACAAACAAACAAACAGACAGACACACACACAAACACACACACACATTGTCATACTTTTCAGTGAAGTTGCTGATAAAAGGCAAATACTACAATGTAGCACTGCGCACCATATTCTAATGTGAACATACTCATATCGCGTAAACTTTGCCCAAGGGGCCAAGTCCATGAATGAATGACCACGCCCATCCAGGGCCCACCCCACTTTTCCAAAACAACACACACACAACATCAACAATTAGTCCGTTACAAGCTTTGGCGTTTCAATATCTTAAAAGTTGACTAAACAATAAGCAAAGGCTGTTGAAAATGTCATCTGGACTACCTGTTTTCACTTTTATCTGCAGTCCATTCCGGAAACAGTTTCACACTCGGGCGCCAAAACGAACTTTTCAACTCTGACCTATTTGGATTAGTGCATTCAAGAAAAGGGAGAATTGTACTCATTATTTGACTTAGGATTGAAAAGAAGACACACAGTAAGGATAAGAATTTATTACAGACTAGAGATATAGATTATCAAAATGTTAAAATAGTCTTGTGTCATGAGTATGTGAGAAGCGTTTTAATTTTTCATATGTTTGCATCACCTACACCCCTTTTTCTTAATGAGTTAGTCCAACTGTCGCTGGGTAACACCAAAGCTCGATCATGGCGCCCAAATGTTGTCAAACGTTCGGTAGAAATAAGTTATGACTGTTTTCTCACTCCAAGTGTGACTGTCTTTGGTATCATTGTGCCTAACGTTTAACAACTCATCCTAAATCGTAGTAAACCTTGTCGAACTTAATGTAAGAACAGTCTCCGTATAACTTCCCCCCCTCCCCCATCTTGTTGAAGCTAGGCGGCTGTATTGAAAATATTCCAGTTCCCAACGATGGCGGCTGAGATACTGGGAGACTATGACCCCGGCAGGATCCTCAAACTCGCGGCAGAAGTTGCCGATTCACCTGACAAGAAGGTAAAGTTTCTAACTCACATAGTTTTTGTCACAGTGTCTGTTGTCTCCAGATCTAGATGAGATGGTAGACGCTTACTGGACATACTGCGGGTTTACGGAAAAGGCTGGGTGCCTCAGCAGCCTGCCTGTGTACCTGGGCTGGCTAGCACGTCAGGCTTTTCCGTAAACCATGCTGCTTTCCAACATGTACCATTGGATCCATAGAGACAAATGCAATGCAAGGCTTTTTACGTTGCAAAGACACTGACATACACAATTTAAAACAGATTTACAAAGACAAGTCTATAATCCAGTAATGATATGAGCTGCCCCGTTGCAGGTGCCAGTATTACTGCTGGAGTTGCGGGACATCCTGGATATGGCCCCGGCTGGGAGTCCGAACGCACGCAAGATTCGTCTGGACATCTGGACCTACGACTTACTACAGGTAGAGTACAGTACTCAGTATTTGTCTTTGTACAATATTCTACTTAAATCAAGTTCATGCTCATAAACTGATAATAATGGTTGATTTAGAATAGCAGGGCCCTGGAAATTGAGTCCTGAATTGCTCTGACATTCACATAATTGTTTGTAAATAATTTAAGCTAATTGACAATAAATGTACTTACTAATCCCCCTGACTCTGATGTTTATTTCTTGTTAGGTTCTGGTCCTGGTACTGAAGCAGGACTTCTCCACCATCCATGGAGGCTGGGCCACAGCTGTCAAACTCTCCCAGATCCTCAGTACCTGCTGCGCCGGACTTGACCCTCCGGAAACCAACGAGTTCTACGACCTCACGCTACCGTCGGCCACGGACAACCTCCTGATCCTGTCGCGTAGGATCCAGGTACGCTACGACAAGATCGAGGACGTGTCCTCACTAATCAAACTCCAGCTGCTGAAGGACTTCCGCAGTGTTCTAGATTCCATCAGCTGGCTGATCAGCCCCATCCCAGCCCTGATTGGCCACTTGCTTCACTCCCAGTACCTCCTCCAGATGCTGCTGACGGATGACATTGAGACGTCGCGTAGCGTGATGTCGCTCATTCAGAACGCCGTCCATGCCAACCCCACTGCCTTACGGACCATGGAGGAGAAATTCCTGTTCAGCCTTTTGGATGAGTTCGTGTACAAACTTTCAGCTAGCACAGACAGCACGTTAGGGCGATCAGCCACAAGGACTATCCTAGACATGACTGAAGCACATCCAGCTATAGTTGAAATCCTCTGCGCAAGATTTAAGGGTTTGAGACCGCTGCTGGGTAAGTGGTCTGGGAAGGGATTTGAGAAAGAGCTGAGGGAACTGACTAGAGTACTCGACGCAGGAACTGTAGAGCAAGTCGAGTCGCAGAAACTGCACGACGCAGCAAGGAAGATTCAAGCGATGTACAGGGGGTACCGGATGAGGACACAACTCAAGAAGGCTAACAAGGCACTGTCGACACTACAAAGGAGTTTTAGGAAGAAGCGAGCAAACAAGGAGAAAGAACAGGCAGCGCAGAAGCAGCAGGCGGAGCTGAAGCACCTACTCCGCGTTCGTCGCCAGCGCGCCCTTCGAGAGGCCCGTAGGAAGGAGCTGTACCTGATGGAGTCACTGCCTGCACCGCAAGTCAACAAACACATCAGCCAGCAGCAGAAAAATGCTGCTGTCAAGATACAGAAGATCTGGAGAGGGCACAACTCTCGGAAGAAGTTCCAGGTAAAAACATTTTGAAAAGCAAATCATCTGTTATACACACAACTGTAGTAAGATATCACAATATTTCCTTTTACGTTTTACTGCTTTTCAAACTTCAAAGGGACATCTTATTTTATCAGTATCAGGGCCTCTGTGCTTAAACTTCTAGTTATCCAATCCTAAGCTGGAAGTATGACTCTTTGATTATAGTATAAATTAATGTTTCAGTTTTGCATATAACAATAGAAGGCTGTGCTGAGGTGTATTGTATGTTGATTGAATTGGCTATAATCAGAAAATGTTGTACTTTAAACTCAACAGAAGGAGAAAGACAGCAGGGTCCAGTACCGTGCAGCGTCCCTGATCCAGCGGCAGGTACGGCTCTGGCTGGAGAGACGACGGCGGGCAAAGCTGGACGAGTCCTTCATGTTCTCGCAGCAGCTGAGCGACGAGCGGAGAGTGGAGCTCCAGGGAAAGATCCGCGAGTACCGAGAGATGCACGCAGTACGCGGCATCTCGCGGGAAAAGTTAACAGAGCAACACGAGAATGCACACTCCGTGCTTCAGTCACACATGATGAGAAGAGCTGCGTCGCTGAAGGCAGACCAGCGGTTGGTAGAAAATAGTAATCAATCTTACATGTACAAGTACATGTACAAGTACATGTACATGTAGTTTGATATTGTTGCCTTGAACATTTACCCCTGTTTCTCTTCTTTATATTCTATGTGTAATGACATGGAAATATCAAAATGAAAATTCTGCTACAGTGCCAGTTACAGGACGAACCAACATACCAATTATCATCACAATTCCAACCATGACAAGTAGGTCAAACCCTGACATACATACATGTACATGCACACACACATCCACCAATAACTAGCACGTTCCTCTTTCACAAAGGTATAATAACAAAACCTTTATTTTTTCTCCATATCTACAGGAGAAGAGTACTGTTAGCTGCACTGGATACAGATGCTGAGATGATGATAGCTGCTCCTAAACTTGCGGAGGCAACTGAGGAGGACATCCAACTGTTCTCAAGGTTTGTCACCATTACAAAATGCACTGAACATCTATGTTGGATCTCATATATCAAAATGGTAGTATTAGATTAGTGCACTATCAGATGCTGGAAATGTTGATATTAATGTACCAGTATTAAGTTCTACCTCTAGTTAATTAACAAAAAGTTGTTGTTTTTTTCTTCTGTTTATAGCAAATCAGTGCCTGTTGCAGCCAAAGCTCGACACTCCCATGCTGAACACATGCGCGCCATGAACCTGCAGTGGTACCAGAAACTGGGAGACGAGTTTCAAGATGGCAGCCTTCGAGATGACTTGGAAGAAAACAATGCTTACAACTTTTAAAATATTTTGCAACAAAATTTGTGGCAGAGTCAGAACTGTTATTACAAAAGTTTTAAATGTCATAAAATAAGTGAAGATCTAAACATGTGGTTGATATTTATGTGGAATTGAATAGTTTTCTCAATGGTCTTTTCATATCCAGAACAAGTTGTATAGATAGTAATGTTTTTCATAATAAACACACCAACCATTGTCAGTTATCAATCTTTTTGTCAGTCTTATTATTTCCAAGGACAGGGTGTTAAAAATGGACAATCTCAAGATTGTATTCCGAGTCCTGAAAATAGGTAAACCTTCTGCACCCGTGTGTGCGACATTTGTAGACAGGCATGTGACAGATAGTAATTATGCCCTCTGGCAATAAACTATATAAAGACACACAAAAACACCAATCTTCTAGCTTTGCAATCAACAGCTTTATTTATAGAAAGTAAACCGTTGGTCCCATATGCCATCGTATGTGATCTAAATTGACAGCCGAATTTATTTGAAAAATGATACATAAATGGAGGTTAAGTATCTCATTACGTGACTATATATAGCTCTAAGCACCCCTTCATACATTATCCAGCATTATTTCAGACATTAATCTCAACGATGTCTCGCATTACGTTAAAGCAGGGAAAATACCACGTTTTCGTTTGCTTTCTGGCAAAAATATCAACCTTGCAGTTAAGCCATACGACCACAGGTGGATATGCATTGCTTTGTCTGACAAGAAGTTCTGTGACCAGAGGACTTCTAGGCTTCGGGGTCGTCTGGGAAAAGAAGGACGCCGGAGAAGCTGGTGTATTTGCCGAACTCCGTGCTGTAGGTTTGCGCTCCCTCAGCTATCACCACTGTCATCTGAGAGAAGATGGCAAAATCAACAAATTAGGCATCCAGGTGTAGAAAACTGACAAATCTATCACACTGAGAAAATGGCATTGACACAATAACTCGCAAAACTTTCCAAGTGCAACTTTCGTCCAATTGGCATAGTCTCTACCAGACTAACTACGCTGGAGAATATTTGCCAGCAGAGTTTGCTGCCTTGGGGTTTGACTAGGAGGGAAAGAACCAACCTTCCACGGACTGACTCCCCAGGAGCTGGCCAATTTTACTCTCCCTAATGCTACGATCCGTATTCCCGTAGGAAGGCCTAGCTTGAGGCTACAGTCGCAGCTGACCAGTTTGGAACGTTCAAAAAAATGTCACATAAGAACAGGTCAAAACTCTTATAAAGTTTGGACAAACCTCGTCTTTCTCGTACAGGTGCATGACGACAGTGTTGGAGGCGGTGTGCGGGTTGAGGTTTGGGAACCTGGCGGGGTCGATGTCTGCTTCGTACACTCCCGCCATCTCCTCTCCGTTCTTGTACAACCCCAGGTACATCTTCCACTCCGACCGCTTCTGCCCGCTCCACCAGAACTGATACGTCCCTATAGGTGTACAAACGTAGTCATTGGGGACGCAAAAAACTTTCCTCATTCCGCCCAGGTGTAAATGAGTTTGACTTCGGTTGAGGAGGTAATACATGGAACTTTATTGCACGACAATTGCACATGGTACAATGTATGGCAAACTACATAAAGAGAGTAATATGTGCACTTGGTAGGAGGAGGATGGCAAGCCTAATGCTGAGGTCACCAAACCGGGGCCCAGTCGGGCCGTTTGCATGAACGGAAAAAAAAAATCAACAATAATTCTTATCAGGAATATATACAAATACATGTAGTACTCATGATTATCTTTTAAACTTTTTTGGAGTTTTGTTGTCTTTTATATCGTGCTTTTCGTTCCCGAAAGCTGTCCGGTCGGAAATGCGACTCAGCTTAATGTAGCTTCTATTTGACGACCGTCAGTAACCTATCTTACCTGATACAGGTGCAGTGAAGACACTGGTGTGCATACAGAACCCTCCCCCGGCGTTACTGAACATGTGTTCGAACGGCAGGACCGTGTCCCTCCTCAGGGGCCCAAACGGCGTTAGCCGCGCGACGGAGAAGGCTACCCGGCCGACCGGCTTCGGGGGCACGGGCGGAGGCGGTGGTCCCAAGGTTGGCGTCGTCGTTTGCTGGGCGGCGGTGGTCGCATTTGCAGGCGGCTGGGCGGCGGTCGTGGCGTTCGATGGTGTCGTGGTAAAGTTGACAGGTGGTTGTACGGTGGTGGTGTTGCCTGTAGCCGCGCTTGTCGTGGTACTGTTCGCTTGTTGGGTGGTGGTAGTGGTTGTGGGCGCCGCCGCCGTGGTCGTGGGGACCGCAGCCGTGGTTGGCTCTGCTTCTGTAGGCGCTGGTTCTAGTGTCGATTCCTCGGCTTCCGGCAGGTATACGGGGTTCGCTTCTTCCCGGATTTCGAAGTCAAGTATTCCCTTTCCATCTAACAAGAAAGACAGTGAGAGGAATCGTTATTCAAGCTAGTTAAAGGCAAATCTTTTTTCTTGATATAGCTACGGCTAACGTGGTTCAGTACGTTTTACTCAAACGTGACAAAGAAAGATATCCATGTAGCAAAGATGGAAACGATTTTCAAACCACCAGTGCACTGTAATAAATTAATGAGTAACATAATTTAGATCCAAGCCTTCTCTTATTACGGAAAACTGTGACAAGTAACAGATTTTTCACACTCACCGTTGTAATAGAAGGTATTGTCCTCTTTGACCAGACTTCGGTGCCTTTGTAAAACACCACACCTTGCGCACGGAAACTGCAGAAGCCCCGCCAGCCAAACAACTGCTAGGACGGACAGACCTGGCGGTAAGGACCTCATGATTGTATTCTCAAGAAAAATGACAGTCCCGTCAACTTTAGACAGGTGAAGAGATGGACTTCTTTCATCTGATTGAAGAATAAAGGCAAACTGCCTATTTATAGGTAAGATACCTTAATTATGATGCAAATGACACTGTAATTGTCTCCGCAGGTCACAAGACGATCACAAGACTGCCTCAAGACTCTGCATCCTTCTTTATGGGTCACTGATGAAGAGTTATGTCGGTGTTTCAGAACCTAACGGTTATATGTCTTATTGCATTAAGGTATTCAGCTAGACATCATAGAAAGCTTTCTGTCATTTAAGATTTTTTGCAATTGATAGAATGCATGCTAATAACATAGAAAGTTTATTGCAAATCCATGTCCGAGGGCTAACTGCAAGAACATGATAAAATACTACACAGTAAAAATGATAATAAGTAATGCTAATGCTACTTTTGATATAGTTTCTATTTGGGGGGGATTTCTTTTCTGTGTGCACTGGAGTATGAAATGGCCGACATATTGCGAGATGTATGAATTGGGAGGTGTTAATAGAAATGTAGTTTTTTGTAGATTGGGAAGGTGACTAAAGCTAGGGAATATTTTGGTGACCATTTCAAATAACTTAATAACGAACTTTTGGAAGTCATTTTCTTGCTGAGGTCAATGACCGTGCAGCCTGGAACACGGCCTGGGCCAGCGGGGGGTGTTCGAATTTTAGAACCATGTTAGATCCACAGGCTAAGGTCATTGACCGTGTGTGTGTGTGTGTGTGTGTGTGTGTGTGTGTGTGTGTGTGTGTGTGTGTGTGTGTGTGTGTAGGGGTGGAGATCATTTGTAACTTCATCCCAAGTGCTATTTTCCTAAATAAGATTGGGGGCTACATATGAAAACACCCAAACTCCACAGTGAATGTAGCACTTATCGTTAGTTTATTTAGAAATGTCTGCAATACGAGCAAATGCAGAATACTTTTCTACCCTTCTCTCACTATTAAAATTCCGGATACAAACCTTCTCTTGGTGGCTGGTTGTAGGATGGCCGGCAATACATAGAACGCGTTAAAAACTCTACAAAACGCAGTATAAAAACTGCCACCCGCCCCTGAGGCCTGCACAGGAGACTATATGTAACCCCTGGCTCGTCTAGTGGCGCGCGGTTAGTGCTCATACAATCTGCATGAGTCGAGCTTGTGTCACTGACACATTTAATTGATAGACAACAGATCTGGTTTCAGGGACTGGCTCGAGATTGTCACATGATGTGCGCAATGCCTTAGGCGTATAGGACAGTATAGTATACAGGAACACCTTTCAATTTACGATTAAGCAGATACGAAAGGACAGGTTGGACTACTATCGGCGACATGTTGGACTACTATTACTACTACAATTATTTAGCTTTCCTTATGTATTTCGTTTCCCCATGGCGACTTTTGTCTTAATATGATCATGGCTCCCCGTAGAAGTTTTATTTCTTGCCTCAGATTTATTCAACTCTCTTTGGTCTATTACAAGTCAAAACATGCATAAATTGAGTAATTTCACATCCAGCTCAAGCTTACTACTAAGCTACAGAAACGACATAAATACGATATAATAGTGATCGTTCTAGACAAAGAGATACGTTTACATATTTATATACCAATACTTAAGTAATGTACAGTACATCTTAAATTATGAAATATCCATAAAGCAATGATTAAGTAAATGATAACAACATTTTGATGAGGAATTTGAAATTGAACAGGTTCGTTTTTTTAAGAATTTTTGCAGGTTTTTCTTACCATGAACCAAAACGGTGTCTCGCTCACGACTTCACAAGTCTGAACTGCAAAACCTATCTCATCGAACTTTCCAAGCAGTGCGGCCATGTACGCTTCATGTGGTACCTGGTCGTGTCCATATTCAGAATACAGTTGGTCTCTAACTGCCTGTACCAGCTCCTTTGCCTTATCCTTAACTTGTTTGGTGTTAGCACTCACTACTGTGTGTTGTCCGGGATATGTCAATGATGGTTTCACAACAACGAAGTCATGATAACTGTTACATGTTGGCCTTGTAAGTTTTCAGTGCTTCTATGAGCGGCTGGATCTGGTAAAAATCAGCTTCTATCTCGAGCAGAGCGAGCTCCTTGAAGTCTTCAGGAAGAACCAGCTGGCTGGTACGGAGGAAGTTGAGCACGTGTCGGAAGAGCGTCCCGTCCCGGTCTATGAAGGACCGACCCTGGTCGTCCCGCGCGGCCCGCCACAAGTTTTCAAGGTTTCCACCAAACATGGCGCCCAACATGGAGTCTGGGTATCGGGTAAGTGTAGACCGAGTGGTTGTGTAGATGTGACCACCGACATTCAATGTCAAGATGGAGCCGCTCATCTTTACTGATGTCAGCCGTTATTTAATAAACTCTGGTTTCTGAAAGTAACGAGGCATTATCAAGTTACAAATTAAACGTGGTAGCATAAAGGACTTTGGTAGCAAAAGGACCCTGGTCGTCCGACCGCAAGGCGCCCAAGTCTCCACCAAACATGGCGCCCAACATGGAGTCTGGGTATCGGGTGAGGGTGGTCATGGTCGTGCGATAAACGTGACCTCCAACGTCTAAGGTCACGATGTCGCTGGACCTACTCATCTTTGCTGGTACTTCGTTTGAACAACTCTTTAATCTGGAAGTAAATAGAACTTAAGAAGTCATGAAACGTAATTAGTAAGCTAGTGCGCTTGACTTGCATTGTATATTAAGGCGCATGTGAACCGTAGACCCTAGACTTCCGGGTATACATTTGAATGTTTTTTCAACGTACAAGTCCCTGGTAGGCCTGTTTTCAAAGTGAAAATGCAAAGTTGCCTTGCTGTACAATGGAAAACTGTGAAACAGCGATGCAGGGGAGAAGCACACTACACTAACAACACGATACACTCCATGGATTGACCAACTTGTCACAACAGGTGCGACCTAGAGCCCTTTAGATGGCTCGGCTCTATGGCATTTGCAACCACCGTGACCACAGTGCAAACACAGCATACACTGCGTGCTTGTTGCCAAGGTTGGTGTTTTTGTGGCTGAGGTTGGAAATAGAGGTGACAAAAATTACCTAACATACATGAGAAATCATATAAGGCAATACCTGGTTTGTGAAACAGAAAGCTCCACAAGTTCTGCCTTTATAAACCTTAAAGCTTGGCAATATGGCGGCTAAATCCGTATTGCAGCGCTACTGGATAAAGTGATGATCTCGTTCCCAGGATACGCTAGACGTATATTGGGTACGACAAGGTGAGATAATAGATTTAGGGGGTCAAAGTGTGCAATTATGTATGCCGCATGTGTTTCAAGTTCAAACCTACCTTTATTAATGGTATACGTTCTATACGTTAACGCCATATCAGGAATTCCGTTAATCATTAGTTTATATAGTGTCATAAGTACTTAACGATGATAAATACTCTTCAATATATTTAAATGTCACTGCCCTATATATTTACCTAGTAATGCAATTTTCGTATTAGGAGGTAGCTGTCATTGCCGAAATAATTTACACACCCGAAAAGAGAAGCCACACAATTTGACTGAATGAATAAAAGACCTTTATTGTACGTTTTTGCTCTTACAAGTTAAGTACAGGTCATGAATAAACAGGAGAAAGAATACAGCAATATCTTACTTAAACTATACATGCTAATGTGATCTACTACTTACAGGTTCAACTTTACAGGTTTCATCTAAAAGTTTAAAGCTGGGGAACGTATTTATATAAGTATATATATAGAGGGAATCTCTCTCATTTCAGTCTATAGAGGCCACCTGTCTTCTGTGACCATTTTCTTCGGGTCACGTGAGTGGTCACCGTACTACCATTGTACCTTATTACACGAAGGGTGCCACAAGTAACTAAAGGTGAAAACCACGTTCAAGCCATGATGTTGATAGCAGCAAATGTTCCTAAGCAGCCTTTGTAACCCCTGGCTCGTCTAGTGTCTCGGTTAGTGCGCATGCACTCTCCGTGAGTCGTGCTTGTGTGACTGACACATTTAGACAGCATGTCTAGTTTCAAGACTGGTTCGAGATTGTCACATGATGAACACGTGTGCCTTAAGGCAGTACGCTATACCGGAACAATAAATAAGCACCTTTCAATTGACGATTTAAGCAGATGCAAAGAGCAAGGCTAAACCACTTTCGACAAGCGCAGGGGAAGAGTTGTAAAAACCTCACCTCACCTCACCTATCCCTTGACCTCGCTGAGGGTCGTAGGGGTACCATGTAAAATATTTCAGTGCGTGTATGAAATATTTAACTTACCTTTTGCATTTTGTTTCCTCGCGGTCTTGTGTGACTTGTTTTCTTAATATAACCATTTAAAATTTTTTTTTTAAGTTTTTGTTTCTTGTGACAGCTTTATTCAACTCTCTTTAGTATATTACTACATGTAAATCAGGACGAAGATTAAGTAATTTCACATCCAGTTCAAGCTAACTAGTAAACTACAGAAACGACATTAATACGATATAATAGGGGTCTTTCTAGACAAGTAGCTACGTGCGCATATGTATATACCAATGCTTAAGTAATTGTACAGTACATCGTTTTTTTTCATTTTGAAATATCCATAAAGCTAATGACATTTTGAAGACGAATTTAAAATTGAACAGGTTCGTTTTTTAAGAATTTTTGCAGTTTTTTCTTACCATGAACCATGTCGGTGTGTCGCCAATGACTACACAAGTCTGAACAGCAAAACCTATCTCATCGAATTTTCCAAGCAGTGCGGCCATGTACACTTCACTTGGTACCTGGTCCCAGGCATATTCAGTACTCAATTGTTCTGCAAGCGTCTGTACCAGCTCTTTAACCTTATTCTCAACTTCTTTAGTGTTAGCGCTCACTACTGTGTATTGTGGATATTTATGTGGTTTCACAACAACGAAGTCATGAGCGCAGCGTTGATACATGCTGGCCTTGTATGTTTTCAGTGCTTCTATGAGCGGCTGGATCTGGTAAAAATCAGCTTCCATCTCGAGCAGAGGGAGCTCCTTGAAGTCTTCAGGAAGAACCAGCTGGCCTGTACGGAGGAAGTTGAGCACGTGTCGGAAGAGCGTCCCGTCCCGGTCTATGAAATACCGACCCTGGTCGTCCCGCAAGGCGTCAAAGTCTCCACCAAACATGGCGCCCAACATGGAGTCTGGGTAGCGGGTGAGGGTGGTCATGGTCGTGCGATAAACGTGACCTCCAACGTCTAAGGTCACGACGTCGCTGGACGTACTCATCTCTACTGGCATTTAGTTTCAACAAGTCTATAATCTGGAAGTAAATAGAAGTTAAGAAGTCACGAAATGTAATAAGTAAGTCTCGTCTTGTGAACTGTAGACCTTACCTCCGGGTATACGTCATTTGAATGTCTTATGACGTACAGGCCCACCGTACGTGTCCGTGTTCATCGTGAAAATGCAAAGTTGCCTTGCTGTACAATAGAAAATTGTGAAACAGCGATGCAGGGGAGAAGCACACTACACTAACAACACAATACAGTCCATGGATTAACCAACTTGCCATAACAAGTGCGACCTAGAGCACTCTAGACTTGGCTCTATTATTATTGTATGTGCAGCCACCACTGTGCGAACCCTGTGTGCCGCTGTGGTCAAGGTTAGCGCTTTGTTAGCTGAGGTTGGATCCGGAAAGCGAAGTTAGAAAAATAACAACAGAATACATGTTAAATTTGACAATACATGTAACGTTACCTGGTTTGAAACAGGAAGCTCAGGTTCTGCCTCAAGTTCAAGCCTGACAATCTGACGGCTAAATTCGCCGTGGTTCGTCTACTAAAGGTGATGACCTCGTGCACGTGTGCCCTGAGGACACACTAGACGTATGCTGGGTACGTACATACGACAAGGTGAGGTGACAGATCAAAGGTCAATGTGTGCAATTATGTATGTCACATGAGGTCAAATCTACCTTAATGGTATACTTTCTATACATTAAGAACAAATCAGAAATTGGGTTAGTCATTTATTTCTAAATACTCTTCAATACATTTCTCAGGCGCTATGTATTTACCTAGTAATGCCATTTCCGTATTGGGAGGTAGCTTTCATTGCCGAAATAATTAACACACCCGGAAACAGAATTCACACAGTTTAATTACCTCCTCCATTCATTTATGAACATTAGGGAACCAATATGTCCTCAAGTTCCATGGAACTTTCTTTGTATTCTGCGTTTGTAGTGTAAAAATCAGCATGAGTTTGAGCAGGACTGTCACTCTTTTATATGGATATACACTAGGTTATTCACCAACCCTTGCATCATGTCAGGCTGATCATGTCCTCAACTTCTATAGAACTTGCATTGAAGTATATGTTTTTATAGTCATTTCGCATCCAGCTAAAGATTACAGAAACCATGTGCTGTTATTAGTGATCGTTCAAGAAATAAATCTAATGGTTATGTGACAGTGTGGTTGAGTTTGATTGAATCCATATCTTCTCGGCGTATTCTGCAATATTCTAAACACGTCGGGAAACTCAACTTTCTTTTTAACACGTGGCAATTCAAGTCTACGGAAACGGAATGAATGCGTCGATTAAACTACAGCCAATACTACCATGCAGGATAGCAGTTAGGGCCAATAAAGATTCAGATATCGACGTTTGGATCGATCAAGTCATCAGTCGTCGTCATAATAATAATCCTCGGGACGATCCTTGCCCATCATGATCCGGAGAGCTTCGATAAGCTCTTCGATCTCGTAAAACTCAGCTTCCTTCTCGAGCAGATCGAGCTCTTTGAAGCCCTCAGGAAGGACCAGCTTGCCGATTCGGAGGAAATTGAGCACGTGCCGGAAGACCACCCCGTCCCGATCTATGAAGTATCGACCCTGGGGATCCCGCAACGGTTCAGCGCCTCTGGTTTGTGCACGTCCCCTGGGCCCTTGGCTGACCATCCTGCTTAGCATGGATTGGGACCCGGCCATGAGAGTAGCCCTGGTTGTAGTATAGATGTGACCACCGACGTTTAAGCTCACAATATCGTTGGGGTTACTCATCTTTCCTAAGGGCGTTTTGTGTTAACAGCTTTTGAACCTGGAAGCAATAAAACAATACGTACTTAATGCCTTGTGTAAGTCACTAAACACCACAGCGCGATGGACTTTGCAACTGAAACTCAGTCAGTTTCGGTAACCTTTATACCCTGGTGTGAACGTACACTCTGCATATGAATATATGGCAACTTGATTGAATTGTTACGGCGGAAAGAATGTATCGTAATGTTACTGTAGCATTAAAATACTTAAGCTTGTGGCAACGGTTCGAAAGCGACGTCAGTGAATTCTCCAACTATACATGGTGAAAAGGCCAATATAAGGCAATACCTGCTCAAGTTAGATATGACTACAGACAGGTCACCTCACGCTCGGTCCCACACCACAGGCGTACGACTGAATCCTCGCGATCTTCGTCTTCTCGCCTGACGTCACTTGGAGCAGGCGCAGTAAGTCAGTCACGGGAGGCAAATCCCTTTATTTTTCTTCGTAATTTTTTTTCAGTAATGGAGTCTGTTGAGGATATTTGGGGCCTTATAAGGACTGGAGGGGTGTAAGATTGTGTGAACCTATTTGGCCACGTTTCCTATATTGTTTTTAAGTGTCGATAGAAACCATATCATATTTAGGTGGCATATCACACTCTAATTTTTTTTAACGAAAATAAAGAAAGCTCTACGTTCTCGTGCCCCCTAACGAACTGGAATGCGCAAGCTAATCTCCAAGCAGATTCTACGGTGGCAAGGCAGTATCCAATCGGCCAAGCAACAGTGACCATTTGGATACTGCCTTGCACCCCTAGGATCTGCTTGGAGATTAGCGCAAGCCACACAAGAAAGAAGACAACCTTCATTCTGTGGGTTTATTTACATGTTGTACCGCTTGCACACTCTGTGTGTTCAATTATTTTCCCAACCTTCGGTCATTTATTTTTCACCATGAAGAAGCCTCGACTAATTTCTTTCCTTAGAAGTTAGACAATAAAATTATATTGCATTATGCCAGTAGGTATTTTGACTTGACGAAGCGGAGGGTTTGAGTATAAAAATATTAATAGTAGTAAGCAATATTTGAATCCCATCGGGAACATGCGGCACATGAGTGATTGAGTGAATTCAAATTACGGAGAAAGTTACAAGACTTTAAAGTGGTTCTAATTCTATTACTACAGTACTTGCAATTGCGCAGCGTGCCTGTATATGCTACATACAGTACATTATCTCATTTTGAAATCCATACAAAGCAATAAATTTAAACAATAACGACATTTTGAAGACGATTTAACGTGTTTAAGATTTAACGGGTTTGTTTCTTAAGACTCTTTGCAGGTTTCTCTCATGACTACACAAGTCTGAACTGCAAAACCTATCTCATCGAACTTTCCAAGCAGTGCGGCCATGTACGTTTCATGTTGCACACGCACATTGCCGCCTCCATATTCAGCCGACAATTGGTCTGCAAGCGCCTGTACCAGATCTTTTACCTTATTCTCAACTTCTTTAGTGTTAGCGCTCACTACTGTGAATTGTGGATATGTCAGTGATGGTCTCACAACAACGAAGTCATGAGCGCAGCTGGCCTTGTAAGTTTTCAGTGCTTCGATGAGCGGCTGGATCTGATAAAAATCAGCTTCCATCTCGAGCAGAGGGAGCTCCTTGAAGTCTTCAGGAAGGACCAGCTGGCCCGTACGGAGGAAGTTGAGGACATGTTCGAACATCCTTCCGTTCCGGTCTATAAAGTACCGACCCTGGTCGTCCCGCAAGGTTTCAAGATCTCCACCAAACATGGCGCCCAACATGGAGTCTGGGTAGCGGGTGAGGGTAGACCGAGCGGTTGTGTAGATGTGGCCGCCGACATTCAGTGTCACGATGTTCATGTTTACCGATGTCTGCCGTTACTGATATAAAACTTAACAAACGTCGGTTTCTGAAAGTAATGAGACATTATTAAGTTACAAATTAAACGTGGTAGCATAAAGGACTTTGAACTTTGGTCACTGTTATGACCAAACTTCGGAACAAACGTAATCAATTCGGTTTGTCAGTCAATACTTTCAAGATTTAACATACATGGCGTTAGTTGGGGCTGGAAAGTGAAGACAGTACGCCTGAATAATAAGACAATTACATACCTGAAATGTTAAACAAGAAGTGTTCCACACACTAAGACTTCCAGTCTGGTCTAACGCCACAGTCTAATGGCTGATCGGCGTGATCTCATTTATGGCCGTCAGGGCGGCTGACGTCACTTTGAGCAGTCGTAGTGAGAGCATCCTGTGGAAATGTCTAGAATCCCTCGCTTTTTTTCCTTTTAGATTTATTTTCATGGAAGAAATGGCGAATTATTGTTGTTTTTGGCATACGTTCGGTAGTTAAGATGTAAACGTGTGTGATTTGACCAAGAAGGGGTCTTAATGATTTTAAAGTGCGGAAGGAGACAACTGAGTAAAACGTTCGATTTAATCTGGGCACAAGGATCTCAGTGACGTCGCGTCACGGAAGAAAAGGGGCGATGGCCTTGGTCAATTGAGAACAAGTTGGTAGACATCATATTTTCGTCGTGGCGATAATACTGGCTACACCGAATTAGATCTCCTATAGATTAGAATAGATCTTTGACTTTTCCATGTAGATAAGCATGTTATGAACAACTTTTTAGGCGTATTGGAAGTTCCAATTGACTACCACTGCGCTGTTGATACCAACTTATCTAAAATTTCTATCGGCGGTGGTGTCTACCCTACTCGTGACACGATGAACTGGTCAAAGGTGGTCGTAACTCTGTTCCGCCCGATGACACTTGACCGTACGGTCATTTGCCCAAACTCCAAAACAACTGGGTCATCATGTTTTTTTGCTGCATCATGTATGTATGCTCATTGCGCATGTGTAAAGTCCAGTCTTGACACACCCACAGAGTGACCACTCGGCAGTGGAGTGAGCGGACAGGATGGCGCTGTCCTCGGGCCTTCTGGCCTCCCTGCTCTGTCTGGGCTTCTTGGGCCCTGGCTTAGCCCAGAACTTCAAGCGTACAGAAGAATGTAACTGTACCCCGCAGCACGGATCCTTCCACAACCACTACGCGGTGCTTCTGGACGGGTCCCGCAACGTCAGCCTGGCCGAGTACCGCGGTACGACCCTGCTGGTGGTCAACGTGGCCACCTTCTGAGGGTTCAACGAGCAGTACCCCGACCTGAATGCACTAAGGACCAAAATGGTCGACCAGAACGGTCACCGTTTTGAAATCCTGGGTTTTCCCACCAACAACTTTGGTCTACAAGAGCCTGCACCCAACAGCAAGATCTTGGACTGTGTCAAGTGAGTAGAGAATTACATAATAGGCGTCGGCCTTTGTTTGATTTTCTTCAGACTTTTGACCCATTGTTTGCTCTGTTCCAAGTTCCAGATAAGAACACAATGCTGTGACGCACCAAGAGTCATGGTTACTACGTATTACTCTACAATGTGTGAATGTGCTGTGTTGTGTTGTGTTCATGATAGATGTAGACAAGATTACATGCGGTTTTGTGCCCCAAGTAGGATTTTGCGAGAACCCTTTGAGCAATTTTCCAGTTCGGTAGACGGTGCTTTAAACCTCAGATACTAAGAGATCTACCCGTTTAGATAGCTCAAACTCTGGACTGCTTTCACACCATTTCTTGTTCCCGATTTTGCAATAGTAGACGGCCTTGGAAGTCAAACGCGACCTTAGAATAGTGACTAATTATTAACTAACGGGAACAATTCGGTGCCCAAGACAAATTTGATCTAGATGCCAGGTCTAGATGCCAACAGGTCTCTCTGTGGTGTCAATTTAAAATCCATGCCATATTTCAATGAAAAAACTGCACTGCCCGAAACACAAAAATAACTTTAATTTGTTATCTTCTTTTTTTCTTTTTGCAATGATGTTTACAAGAGTGCATCTTCTGTACGCGTAAAGTCACATTCTATCTTCATTTAGACCAGTAACCATACTGCTAGACTGGCCCTGGGACAATGTTCAGCCTGTGTACTGTTCTTTGTCAGTGTTTCAATGTCAAGTTGAGGTCATACAGATTGAACGTTGAATAATTTCCGCATGTCAGAATGGCAAGTGTTACCGTCACGAGAAGATGAAGATCTAAAATGAATTTGGACCTCATAACGGTATTTCCTTGGTACTGCAGCGTAAACTTTTTAATTTCATTTTTTTTTGCATGCATATCGTTTGTTATGGAATGTAAGTGTGATATGGGGTTTGTTTTAGATTACCAATATTGTTGTCTTGACGACAGGTACGTCAATCCAGGGAACAACTACGTCCCTAACTTCCCGATGTTCCAAAAGGCAGACTGTAACGGGGCGAACGAACAGGCCCTCTACACCTACTTGAAGGTAAGTTCCTATAAGCGGGACCGATAGGGATTGCCGGTTGGGGCGGGGGCATGACAACGGCCCGTCCTGTAAGGTCTGGATGAAGCCCGCTGTTGTTGTGTCCCTCCTCGAATTCACTCCATAATTACCTTCGCCAAGAAGGTTATGTTTTCAGTAGCGTTTGTGTGTGTGTGTGTGTGTTTGTGGTTTAGCAAGATAACTCGAGAAGCAGTGGATGGATTGGAATGAAACTTGGTAGGTGGTAGGTCTCATGAGACATAGAAACGATTAGACTTTTGGGCCCCTGGCGGCTTTCCTAGGTACTGCAGCAGAACTTCCGGTTTTGATATCTCGTGATCTGGACATGCTAGGGTCACGAATTTTGGATGGCAAATAGCTCTTGGGATAGAGAAGAAGTGACATGAGTTTGGGTCCCCTAGCGGCTTTTTCTGGAACTGCAGGAGCATTTGTTGAAAATTTTTCGAAGGAGGATAACTCAAGAACCGGTTGACGGATTGTCGTGATTTTTGGTATGTAGGTAGTTGAAGTGATACTTGACATAATCAGATACAATCATGCAAATCAGGAGCTAATTTGCATAATTGATGAGGAAATTCTATAAATCTGCTTTGTTCGATGATAGAACTATGAAACACTTCTGACATCTACTTGAGAACGAGAAAAAACATCTGAGGATATATATTATGTAAATGAGGACCTAATTTGCATAATCAATGGCAAATGTTTATAATTTCATAGTTGTAACTGCTGGGAATTCATACTTGCCACATTTGGAAGTTAAGTGAAGGTGAACATCAATAAACATGATTTATTTAAATCATGACCTCATTTGCATAATTTATGAGGCAGTGCTATAATATCCTTTTTGTTAAGGTAAGGCTGTCATTGGGTGGAGAATATGATCAACTGATATAATCCATGCAAATGAGGCGCTTATTTACAAAATCAATTATTAAAATTGTATAATGAATTCGTCATCCGCAAGGGTTAACATCATTTGGCGAAGGTATGAGATCGTGGAACTCTTGTTCTATATTGTTTCAATTACTTGCATGACCAGCATGTCTTCCTCTATATGCACGTACAAAATGCACGGCATGTTCCTTAATAAACGACAACTTGTGCTGTACTGGCTTGCAAAAGTGATTTCGACTTTCAACCCACAACGGATGCAGTGCTCTGTCCAGTCGACTACCAATTGGGTGTTTCACAGGAGTGTTTCATCTCCATAAAACCCTAAACATCAAAACAGCAACAGCTTTGTTTGTTATCGTCGACATCGAATCTTATTACATCATCAATCTTTAACATCAAATTCTATTACGTCACCAGAGCTGCTGCCCCCCTGTCTTTGACTACTTTACCGACAAGAACAGGCTGTACTGGAACCCTATCAAGAACAGCGACATCCGCTGGAACTTCGAGAAGTTTCTAGTCGACCCAGATGGAAAAGCTGTCAAGAGGTAAGAATTATGTTCTTTTATAGCTGAAAAAGCTGCCAAGAGATAAGAATTATGTTGTTTTATAGCTGAAAAAGCTGCCAAGAGATAAGAATTATGTTGTTTTATAGCTGAAAAGCTGCCAAGAGGTAAGAATTATGTTCTTTTATAGCTCGAAAAGCTGCCAAGAGGTAAGAATTATGTTGTTTTAGACATGTACTTGAAATGTTACAGATTGGTGTTTTGCTATCCTAGCGATAGGACCAAGTTCGTGGATTGGATCGCATGGTCTTTCATTATATTAACGTAAATTGCGCCATGTTGGAGTACATTGCACGTCTGTTACACATGCAGGTATGTTGCTGTACTCCAACATGGCCGCCACGGCTGTAACAAGTGCCGGTGGAACTGCTCTAGAAGAAATGTGTCTTCAGGAAAACCTCTTACCTGAAGAAAAACAGATGACGCGTGTTTCTTGAATTCATGACTTTTTTCGTGTGTAGGTTTTCGTCGTACGTGACACCAAACGATCTGGAGTCCGTCATCGACGATTTCATCAAAAACTGGAACACCTCAAGCCGCGACACCTCCGGGGCGAGGAGCTCACGTAACAGTGGCTTCCTCTCCTGGCTCAACTAGACCATTCCTTCTTCGCGATATGTTAAACTCTATTCTCAGAATCACAATTACGACCGAAGTAGAGAACAGTGTTTTGTGACCTTAATATTTCTATTCCACTGACACTAACAGAACAATCACGAAATCTTCACCTTGATATTTTTTGACTGTCTCTCTCCGTTTGCATCTAGTTGACTGACTATTTGCCGTTTTATAATGTAACGGTGTGTGTAGTGTGTGTTATGTATTCACTGCTAGTCCTTGGACCCGACAACTAGATGACGAAGGAATCACAAACCACATTGTGGGGGGTTCTTTCAGAGGGGTATGGAGCCTTCCTCGGCCTTCGTGCATTCAGCTGAGGGGGGTGACATCCGCTGTTGTTGAGCTCAACGTTGTAGAATAAACACATTGAAACCATATCTCAGAATCATGTCCTTTGTTTGCAACGAGGGTATAAATAAGCCATTTCGTACATGTAGTTCCAACTGCATATGCGCAGTAGTGATGCACGTGTAATAGGTCAAAGATCCCCATTTATGACCCACAATAGGTTTTCGGGAGTGGAATTTTAGATAGATCAGATCATTTGATGGAAACAATCTCCACTTGCCGTTTTTGCAGCATTTAGAAGGTTAATCAATGGTGAAAGTCGCCCTCTAAGGCAACAAAATGTAGGCTGAGTAGGATTGGGATCTTGAACTTTGACCTAGCCCACAAGGCATCACGGCTGCACATGCGTACTTGTAACTACGATGGCATATTGCGTGCTCGTGTGTCAGTTGTCAACACTCATCGGTAATGAAACTACGATTTGTCCCTCGTTAATCAACAAAACATAGAAGATAATAGTAAAGTAATTGTTCGGTTACAAATATTTATTAAGTGATAATATACAAGACATAAATATGTGGCATCCATGTACAACATCATTGGAATAAAACATTATGCGCTTAATTTATACTAGATTATCAAACGATCAAGAGGGGGTAACACACTCACTGACAAGTCCTGGCATGTTGAACACATCTTCAAATTTAGATGTCATGAGTTCGTAGAACGAAGTATGTTTGATTTCCTAGTTCTCAATGCTGAACTATGGAAAGAGTAAAATCCAAATCCCGTTGACTCAAATAAGCATCAATGTTCTAGAAAGAAAAACAGTCCTAAAGCCCTGAGTATACATGTATACAGTGGTATTCGTACTGTCATGTTTGGTATGGTATCGAACAAAGATAAACAAACAGCAACAACTTCCACATTATTTTCTATCTCGACCGTAATCGGACTATGTAATCCGATCTGTAACTGACCCAGTCCTACACTTACTCTACGTCTACAATCTATACATTAAATGTCAGCATTTGTCATAATTCATATTCTATAAGTGTGCAATCATATAAAGAACGTATACACAGTGCAATATTACTCTCAACTTGAAAGGGTGTACTGTTTTCTTTTTTTTTCAGTTTGAATAAAGAAGAAATACTTAAAAAGAATAAATACATGTAAAACTCCCATTTTCTAATCTAACTGATTCAAACTTCGAATTCCATTATCAAACGTATGTAACATTTATAAGGGTATGAAAAGAACCTCGGTGTGTATATGATTACATAGGCAACATATATAGGTAATAACAGTCGTATTCAATCAAAAATTACCTGCACGTCCCATTGGTGCAACTTCAGTCGAACAGACGACTCCATTATACAGATGAAGGGATTGTGAGTGCATATTATTTATGGCTTTGGGACGATTTTATAATCTTCAAGACGATGTAGAGAAAGGATTTACAACATTTGCTGACAGCCGACCCTCGAAACATAGGCGGTCAAAAAGCGATACAATTAAAAAAAAACAACAAATTGACCAATTATGCCACATTGTCAACACGTGAATCACTAATTATAGTGCAAGGATACTTCACATCTAGCTGAACAATCCACATATTAATTTGAGAAATCACAGAATTCACGGAAATACCACTTGAAGCTGTAAACGCAGACCAGGTGGTAGTTTACACACTAACAGAAATAACATTGAGCAACCGGTCTTATTCATATCATTGTGATACTTCAATAGAACAATAAAAATGTCATTTCGATCTTTAAAAGCACCCAGGAAATATGACATATTGAACGTCTTCACCATGTACGTGGAGAGAAAAAGAATACAAAAAGGAATTCAATTTTAAAATTTTGTTTCAACACAATCAAACATATTTCACCAGTACAAATGCACGAATCGGTCTTCTTCTGGAATACTGACCCACTCACATCTGACACGTGACTTTCTGGAAATGTCACGTGACTTTCTGGAATGACGTGACGTCAGGACTGAGTACATTCGTCCAGTTCTAGGCTCATTTGTCCTTGAGTTGGATCGAAGGTTTAACCATTTCATGTATCAACGCAAATGGGTTTCAACGAAAACAAAGTGCTGATAAAAACGTACAGAGAAAAATCACACTTTTGTTTTGTTCACGTTTGTGAGAGCTCGAGCATCACACGAACAGGAAATCCGTGCCGGGTCTGTCTCCACAGTTGCAGTCGTCTCTCTTCTCGGCGCGCAGCCACGAGCCCTGGCACCCCGTCACGCCCATGGCCTTCCACAGGGTCGAGCCGTCGTCCACGCCGTCCCCCGAGCAGCGGCCGTTCCTGTCCATGGCGGCGGGCTGACACTCCACACACACCGTGGAGCGCGGCTGCAGCGCGTGGGTCCACTGCCCCGCCTGCCGGTGGAGGATACAGGTGGTCGGGACCTCGTTCATGTAGAAGAACACACAGTAGCTGGAATAGAGCAAAAAAGTACTTCAAATCTTAGCTACAGTTTTGCTACCCAATCTAACAGTAACGTCGCCTCACACAATTAGGTCGGATACCCTATATAAACGTCGCTACATTATAAACGACGAATTTAACTTGATGGATTTAGGCACATGTGCGTGCAGAATATTATCTTGAAGTTAGTCGCCAATTGAGTCGGGACTAAAACAGGACAATCCAGACCATAGACAGTTTACAAAAGGTTCCTTAGTTACCTCTTCCTAGTGTTGATGACTCTTTTGGGTCTGAAGTCTGGGTACTGATCGCGGCTAAACTCGGCTGGGGTGAGCAAGGCAACATCTGAAAAACAATAGATATATATGGAAAATCAACCACCATCGTCTATTAGATTATAATTAATACACAAGGAATCTCTACATTCTGATCTTGATCCAGTGCTTTTGAGCTGATGTCTTCCCGATGCAGGCGGGCTACCTTCCTGCACTCTTCACCAAAGGCGACAGGAGGAGCTACATAGTATTACATAGACTTTGCGCCTGTCTCGGAACAGGGAGAGGGGCGGGCCCTTGCCCGTTTCGTAGCAACCCTGGTGGAGAGATCCATGAAGGTTATTCTAAGTCAGTCAGACGACACTAGATATTTGAAGTGGCCCTGTCCATTGTGGGTACTAGAGGAGTTTGAATCACATTGGTCTTAACTACATTTGTATATACATGTCTGTATTTCTGTATTTTTTATCATTCTCTATCAGGCCTGCAGGGGACTGACTTCCTAAACATCTTCGGACTCGAAGGAGAAGCCAACATATCAGTCTGAACGAAGTGAATATTACCGAGGCATTTCCTCAATCTTGAAAACCCGAGAGAAGATTCACAGAGCGAGAGTAGAGAGAGTAAGGGGATGCTTCCCAGTGACAACGCTGAACATGTGGCAAGTTTCACTGTCTCGTCAGTGGATGCAGTGGTGCGTATTTGACACTCAAGGTCAAGTTCATACGGCTTGAACAGAACTAAAGAAGACATAAAACACGACTAGAATTCTAGACCCTTGAAGTACATGTTGATGTACGGATGGATTAGGGAGTGCATAGAAATTTGACATAAACGCGCCGCCTTTTCCGTGCTGAACAATGCCTTCAATTTGCTGTCGCAAAACGAATGTGTGTGGACCTTAGTGCCGTTTCAAATAATTAAAATGTGATGACCCATGTTGCTACGATGTCCAACGACAAATATTGCAATGTATTAACCCTGCTCTGAGTTCAAAGTGTGTTGTGGACCTTACAAGTTTTTTTGCGGCTCTTGGTGGCAAAAGTGCACATGTTGTCACATTGGGGCACCAACTCCGTAGAGTGTTTTTGGCACACATTTAGACAGATTAGCCTAAGAGCAAGGAAGGTAATGTAAAGTGCCCTTCACAACATCGGCGCATGGCTAGTATCGAACCCAGCCGGACCTATTGGTTCCGAGTCCAACGCTCTAACCGTTGAGCCACCGACGCCACACTCGTGTCATGTCATACCCGGTAAAACCAGCGACTCTTAAATGGTTGTCTGACATACATGTATATTTAACCGGCGGCGGGGACAAATCACATTCCTTTCCACCTACCACAAGCCTTCAGACTTCAACTCGTGACTCACGCGAGGGGTTTTAGAAAAACAACTTTTTGTTGTCTTTTGACTTCTGATGTCAGAGCATCAAAACATACATCAGTCCCCAGGTTACATCAAAAATTTATTCACGGATACCTCGCTATAAATAGATTCCTACAACCCTCCAAGCAGAGGTTGTGGGGAAAGATCGTTAGCTTTTATATATCGCCCATTTTTTGTCGCTACGCCCACCACTTTGGTCGCGCATGGACCCTCTCTGGCCAATGGATACTGCCTGACCAATTTGATACTGTATTTTTGCCCTAGGATCTGCTTGGAGATTAGATTCCTACGTGATGAGAATAACAAAGCCACAAACTTGACAGTCAGTTAAGTACCAGGTTCGCCAGGCTCCCTTAATGGGTTTTGGCTCCCAGCAAGGCTGCGTTTGAAGACGTCTGGCAATGATCGCCCGTTACTAAGCGACGGTAATCCTCACCACCCACGCACCCGCACTCGAAAGCCATAACGTGGAGTTGTAACATGCCAGGTCCGTGTTCACCGGTATGTAGATAACCCTGTGAAAGCTGCCTGCTCTTGTTAAAGGATCACGGCTGGTTACCGCTAATACAGTCTGAGAGAGGTTGAAGCTGAGTGTACAACGTAACTTATTTACTGATTACTGCAGCAAAAACAGTTTTTCCCCTGGTTTCATGGGCGCCGCCATCTTGGCTTCTGGTACAGATACGAATTAGAAATACAGGAACAAACTAGAAATGTAACATTTGCAAAGCAAATGCATGCCGTTTACCTTCACATGGTCTACCTCAAACTACTGCTCTGTTCAGTCTTATCAAAACTCTCCAACTCTGCCCTGCTACAAAATGTAATCAAACACTGCTACAGTGCTAGTTACCATAGTGACAGACCTCTGGTTCAGGTCATTGACCTTATTTGTTTGGAGAAGAAGAAGAGGAAGAAGAAGAAACTGAGCAAAAGCAATGGTTTCCTTCTGCGAAGTTAAACATAACCAACAAAAAAACAAACAAACAAACAAACAAACAAGCAAACACAAAACAGATCAAGAAGTAATTGCGGTACCTGTGGCTGGATCACATCTCCGTGCGTCCCAGGCGTAACAGCCTCGTCTCTCCACCTCGGGAGGGCACGCCTTGCCGCCGTTCTTCGGCTCCTTCCTCACCCGTCGCCGCCGCTCGGCGAACCCGATGTCGCACGAACTGGTGCAGGCGGACCAACCCGACCACTCCCCGACCTCACAGTCCACGGCTGAGGGAAACAAACGCGAAAGAATCATTAGAAGATTTCAAATAAATTTCTGATGTAGTGCCGTACGTAAAAAGCAATAAGGGCCTAAAAGCAAATTTAACAGAAACCATATCAAGTTGCACGTGTGAAGTGGACACTTCCTAAGACAGGCAATGACACCGGCCCTGAGGTGTTGCCAAAATTCTCGCAGTACAAGAGAACAGCTTATCCCACGAATCCCAGTGTCGGAAGCATAGATGGACAGAAAAAAAGCTGACAACATGAAATGTAATCCGTAGACAAACAGTGCAAATGAGCTGTAAATTCTAGTTCCCTGTCATCACCTTCCATCTGACAAGACTAACTACAATGCCATATCATGCTTACATGTTAGTTTACACCCCCCCTACGTTCCCATCCAGCTCAGTAGATAAATGTGCACAAATGCAGTTTCCAAGTTCAACGTCAACTAGAATATATGGCCCAGTGCGCTGTAGGGAATACGAGACTTATCAAGATAAAAACATCTTATTACCCCCCTTGGCGTCTTGTCCTTACCGTACCTTAAGTTAAAACCGCGCTACCTTGAATCGTGTCCAAGTACCTGAAATACCACAGCGGGTTTAAACCGCCTGCAGCACGGTGACTGCCAACCTGGAATCAGCTTCTAAAGCCTCTAAAGCAACCCTTCTGCTTACACCAAAATTCCAACCATTCTCCATTCACTTATAGTTTTGATAAGTGACTGGGGCTGTCCAGAAACAAATGGTAGAAGACATTGAGAAAAGAGTACAAGACAATAGAAAATTTTCCTCCCTTCATTTGAAATAAGAAACGACAATGTATTGTTTTTTCTCAAATGTACATTATTGTAACGTATAATCCTATATAGTGCTTTTACGTAATCTTAAAGTAGATGTCTAGATGTATTTATGTTTTGACTCATTTTGTTCGGCTGAAGAGGACAAAGGATAACGACTGAAAGACGTGTGAAACGAACAAAAAGGGCGCACAGAAACTCCAAGTAAAGCAAGATGTATTACAGATGAAGCCTGTTACGCAACATGTCTTGAATAAGATGGCCACAGGTCAAGAACATTGCTGGTGTCATTTTCGCAGTGCAGGTGGGAGTGATCCCTCAGATATCTTAAACCAGAACAGGACATCTGGCTTGTTTCAAGAGTAAGGTAGTAACCTGCCATTCTCCTGCAGTCTTCAGTGTCACTGACGAAAGGTAATGGATGCTACCAGAAACGTCTGACCGTTTCCAAAATCATATCCAGTTGCTTGAGTAGCTGTTTTTGGCGCATCTTCTTACCTGGATGTCTAACCTTCACCGACGTATCAAGGTAGAAACATATGTCTGTCTGTGGATCATGCCCCCTGCCTGAAACCCCATCCCCAATCCCCATTCAAATTCAGACGACAAATGGTGACAAATGGGCGCAATGACAATATTTGAACACGGCCGTATACACAAGACCATTGGCTTCCGACATAACAATGTCGTCTGATTATGCAAATTAATGCCTATGTTGACTCGCAAACTCTGCCAACATGAACATGTATCCTGTGGGAACATATTTTGAGTGACAAGAAAAATCTGACGTACTGCAGAACAGAGCTGTCGTATCTGCTGACATGTAATCAGCTGACATGTCTCAATCACAGTTAATTTTCCAGCATGTAAACAAGCGACATAGATATCACATCAGGGGGGAGAGATATCGTCTGCAAGGCATCTTAATTTCAAACAGCCGTACTGTACACTTAACTGTTGCTGTAATTATACCTTAATGACCTTTCTTGTCTGATAAAGATTGTTTACACTGTTCCACAGGCTATCATGATAAATAGGGCTAAAATTTTGAATGTTACATCTTGGCATCCAAAGGAGCATCATAATTAAAGCCTTACTTTACAAGCTTTGATTTTCAACGCGCTTTTTATAACGTTCTTAGTAAATCATTAATGTCAGCTAGACGGCGATAATTTATATGTTGACCGGAGTTGCCGTATGTGCAAATTTGAACAAGACATAGACGTCAAAATATCCAATCAAAACAAGTGGGGGTTGAGCTCAAGCAATATTTTTGTAGATGCATGGTATGGATTTAAGATTTCATGGCGTTGACATGTTTTGACTACAAATTGAGTGCTGTGCTTGTTCCTGAACTGTAGTGCCCCTGCCCCATGGACAGTTACTTAATAAAAGACAGTTAAACTGCTTGTACGACAACACTAGAGGACTGTGAAATATTGGGCTTAAACTAAAGGTAATACGTTTTTTCGTTGATGTTAAACACATGCCTCAATCTGGCCTAAAAATGACCCACAGATTCTTCAAAACGTCAGTAGGCTGCTATGCCACAATTATTAAATGTGGCACAGCAACCTAAAACAGGTGATCCATGAATATGAGAAAACAGGTCTAAAACAACGTTGTACTTTCATCATGTTCCATTTTCCCATGAAACTTTACCAATTTCAAACTAATAACACTGCAATCAGTATTTGACGTAGAGCATTTTACTACTATTCCTGCCTCAACAACTCTAAAGCGCTGCCGTTAAACTTCTCTTCCTGCAAGTTCTCGACAAAAACACATGTCCGTGATAGGTTTGCCCTTGGAAAAGTGACATTTACAAGCAAACATGCTGTCAGCAGCTTCAAAAGCTTCTGAAGTGGACTTTAACCAGGGCTTGACAATGTATATTTCCTCTGGTAAAGGTCTCAGACATGCTAGACAAGAGGTCAAGAACCGTATGTTGGGTAAGGAGGGTTCCTTGGAGATTAAAATAGGCTGACCTGTGTGACCCTTACACAAGAGTAGGAGTGGGGATTGCCGTCGATTTAACTGCTGTCTTTCATATACGAATTCAGTTTTCGTCTCTTCTGCAATTAATCAAGCTATTAAACTTAAAATCTTTTTCAGGTGTACAGTTTGCGGACAGTTATGCATTAACAACGTGCTCCTTCGTTGGAAACTATACTATCTATAATCTAAGTTAATTACCCAAGTCAGTGTAGTTTCATACGAAATACGAATGAATTATATATGACTCTAGGTCATTACCGATAGCCTAAGTGCGTTTATCATTTGACCTTGACCTCATAATGTTTCCGATCAGCTTATAGAAATAAGAGAGAGATAAGAGAGAACTTGGTCACATGACTTAACTTTCATACCAGACGTTCCCATTACGTAAGCCATGACCTGTCTATAGCTGATCTGAGACAAAAGGAAGTTAAGGTCAGGCAATAAATGCAATTAGGCTATCGACAATGACCTTCAGTCATATATAATTCATTCATATTGCTGTATTGGAGTAGGCCGTAGGATCATTGTCCACACAGCGTGAGCCACCAAAACGGTGTACCTTATTCCGGGAGGCCAATATTACGAAGGTGAATCTTTACTTTGACATCTTTCAGACACTCTCTAGACACGTTCACGTGCATAAAGCTACACTACACAGGCAAATGATGATCCATGTTCCATTTGGATGCCAATTCCCTTCATCGTGAAAACTGATCTAGACTATTGCCTACGGCACTTCACTGAGCTACAATGAATTAAGTAAGACTGACAACATCTCCGAGTGCCAAAACGTTTCAGGAAATCGTAAATGACATTATCTGACTTTAATCTTGATAAATTAATTAGGCCTCATGCAATGTACGTGTCAGAACATAATAGAACACTAAGATATTTCTTTGAAGAGAGAAGACGGGAGTCAAGTTGCTCCTTTCTCCGTGCCCGTCTGGCAGTTTGTTCCTCCAGTTAGAAATACAACCGTTAGACATTTCACCTCGACAAGCAACTTCAAAACCGTTACGAGCGATCACTGTCGCCATAAGGCTGGCCTCCAACCTCTCCTCCCACAAAGAACTCGTTTTATTTCCTCCGCTTGACTACAATTACATTAACGACGGCGTGATTTGTTGTTTCGTGAAAATCTAGTGAGAATTCCACACACGAGGCCGCCATCTTGGGTGCTCAAGGTCACTGCAAATGCCGGTGACAAATCAAACTAATTGAATCGCTTGTCTCCCCAAGGTTCGGGTAGATGGCACTTTATTTCCTAGTCCATCTGTTACGTAACATCCCATTGGTGGGCAAACCTAGCCTATATATTTAGAGCTAAAACGATGTTTCTGCTTTTTTTCTAGTTTATGACCGTAACGTAACGTAACGTTATATTTCATATGTAGCTAGGATGAGTGTGTGTGTGGGAGGGGGGGGGGCACAACAATGATACAAAAGGCATCTGGAGTGAACAATCTATATTTAGCCATTCCTGTAGCGTTAAGTGCTCTGTACGTTTTCAACAGTCTGATATATGAGTACAAATAGCCTTACAAGTGAAAGAGGGCAGATACACATGGCCTGTGGACGATGTAAAGAGTTAAAGCACACAAACAGCCATCTGACATAAAAGTACACTGGTCTGGCTTTCTTTAGCGAGGGCTAAGTTTTTCACTTAGTGTTTAAGGCATGAAAAAATACGACATGGTCTGATTCTGGGGACATAATCGAATCAAATGCTTCAACACAGCCATTGATAAGCTGGAATTCAATATTGGCCGGTCTCCATAGCTGCACCGTAACTCAATAGTCAACCATTCAATATCCACTTAGTTCTCCCAATGATTAAGAGGACTCCAATGCACAGAAAAGCTTAATCTACGTGGCAATCTCATGCTTTTAGCGTTGATGTATGGAGAATAGGCGGCTCATTAGATTTCTTCAACAACAAGAGACACCCTGACGTTTCTTTGTACATGAGAATAGCAGAGCAGCTGATTAGCGCGACCTTACTGGGGTGGCGGCGCAGGTCGGAAATGTTGACGGAATGATATCGTCATGACACGTGCATCTCAAACCACCCACCACGCCGGACCGTGTCCTCAGATCAGGCGACACCTTTTATTTCGGACATACAGCATGAATTCCCTTGTGTATTTTTTCAGGGAACCTAGCGCCTGCTGAAAGACAAGTTGTCAGATTCTTTAGAAAG